TGTCATCAATTTTTTCCCTCATTTCCTCTTCAACTCTCACGTTTTTACTCTTCTCTTCCAATTCCCTCACTTCCAAAGTCCCAACTTTTCTTTCCAACTCCCTCACTTTCTTCTCACTATCTACTTTCTCACTCTTCACCCATCAATTTCTTTCTCTAATCCTTCCAATTTCACTCCCTTCTCTCCCAGACTCTTCTTCAACTCTACCACCTCAGCACTCGCCTCATCCCCTAGATGCTGTCAAAAATCTGTAATTTTCCTTTTATCAATTTCTTTCTCAAAAATCTGTCAGAAACGACCTTGCTTCCTTTAAGAATCCTGACTCTCTTTGTTGTATCAAACTGATGGCACATGAGGGACGACCATCCATTCCTTGTGGACTGGCGTCCAATTTTTTTTTTTTTTTTTTTAAAAGCATTGTTAATGGATGGGCATCCATTATCATATGAACGCATGTCCATTTTTTGGGACCTAGACGGCCGTCCCTTAATTTTATTTATATTTTTTTATTTCATTTGACTGATGGACGGGAGTCCTTTAAATGGGGACGTCCGTCCATAGTAAATGGACCCCGTCCATATAATATGGACGGGAGTCCATGTAAGTGAATAGCCGTCCATATTTGATGAACGGCCGTTCACTGGAAAAAAAATTTAATAACTTGAAATGTGTCTGGTTTGTTGGTGTGAATCACGAGACACGTAGGCCGATACAATATTTCGGTGTAAAAATACCGGTGTCTGTAGCATCAACAAAGCTACGGACACCGAAAAATTTGCACCGAAAATGTGTACCAGCCTACATGTACACATGATTCGATTTTTTTATCAATTTTTTTCTAGTGAACGATCGTCCATCAAATATGGACGGCCATTCACTCACATGGACTCCCGTCCATATTATATGGACAGGGGTCCATATACCAAGGACGGGCGTCCCCATTTAAGGGACGCCCGTCCATAATTAAAATACAATAAAAAAATTTTATAAACATTAGGGACGGCCGTTCATCCGTTATGGACGGCCGTCCCTTTATTTTGGACCGGCGCCCGCAAATAAGGGACGCCCGTCCTTAACCAAAATTTAAAAAAAAAAAAAAAAAAAACTTTGGGACGGCCATCCATAAATTTTGGACAATCGTCCCTTACATTTGGACGGGCGTCCATTCTGTCCATACCTTAAAAAAAAAAAAAAAATTCTAAACCTCTTATTCTTCGTCTTCATTCTCTTCTAAACCTCTTATTCTTCGTCTTCATTCCCCATCTCCTCTCTTCTTCTTGTCTAGTGTTATTGAGATGTTACAGATGTATGTATAAATCTTTATAATAGTTCAACTGTTTTACAATAGAATCGTCATTGTTGACTCATTTATATCAAAACAAAACGAAGACAAGATAAGCAACAATCATGCAACTATAAAAACAACTGATCATCATGCTACAGCAACACAAAAACTCAAGAAAAAATTTATACATACATTTGAGTTGTGAAAATATAAACAAAAGCAAAACAAGCAATAATGGCGAGTGATGGTGAAGTTATGAACAACAAGCAAGTTATATTGAAACACTTCGTTGATGGAGCTCCAAAAGAATCTGACATGTTGGTGAATCAATATCTTTGAAAGTCACTGCAACCACTGAAACAGCAGTGTGGAGCTGTGCATTCTGGGCTCTCTGTTACAGCAACCACTACTGCGTCTTCATCTTCAAGAAAGAACGAACAGTCTACCAAGACTTCTTGCTCCTTGTTTTTCCATGTCGCCTTTTCTTCAGCAAAACACTTCCTGCTCCTTGTTTTTCCATAAAGAGCACGTATAAAAATGGTGAATTTTGATATTTTGAGTAGCAAAAACCTTTTCTTTTCCTTTCTCGGTCGCTTTTTAGTGTTTACTCCATTTCCCATGGATCCAGAGTTGGGTGTGGGTCGGTAAGAAGTAGTAATATTAAGTAAACGAAAGTTTTCGTTTTTATTGTCCATTCAATATGTTTAGGCTCAACTCAAAGCTTTGTATTTGTATTGGGTTCCTTTTCCTTTGGCGTTTGGCCTTGAACCTGGGGTAAAAACTTAAAAGCCTCGAGAGGTCTCATTAGTTTGCTACTCTCCTTCACTTTATTCTCTTCAAATTCGATACTTTGCTGTGTAGTGTACCCAGAACCAGAACGAGGTTTTATTTTTATTTTGGTTAAAGATTTATACATACATCTATAACATCTCAATAACACTGGACAAGAAGAAGAAAGGAGATGGGGAATGAAGACAAAGAAAAAGAGAGGAGATGGGGAATGAAGACGAAGAAGAAGAGGTTTAGAATTTTTTTTTATTTTTTATTTTTAAAGTATGGACGAGCGTCCATTCCTAATGGACGCCCGTCCCAAAGTTTTTTTTTTTTTTTTTCATATTTTGGTTAAGGACGGGTGTCCCTTATTTGCAAGCGCTCGTCCAAAATAAAAGGACGGCCGTCCATAACGAATGAACGGCCGTCCCTAATGTTTATAAAATTTTTTTATTATATTTTAATTACGGACGGACGTCCTTTAAATAGGGATGCCCGTCCCTGGTATATGGACCCCTGTCCATATAATATGGACGGGAGTCCATGTGAGTAAACGGTCATCCATATTTGATGGACGGCCGTTCACTAGAAAAAAATTGATAAAAAAATTGAGTCACACGTACACGTAGGCTGGTACATATTTTCGGTACAAATTTTTCGATATCCATAGCTTTGTTGCTGTAGCATTATTGTATAGAAATATTATTAAAGTTCAAGAATATTAATATGAATTCTGAGCCAAGTTGGGCTTCAACATCGGCGGATCCGAAACGAATTGGGCTTTCACATCATTCTTTTTTAATTTTTAAAAGCGCATTGTCTTCTTCTATATACCCTGCTTACCTGGAACTTGGAATAATGGAATATCCCACCCCTTCCCGCCAAAGAATATAATAAAACCCTAACCCACCCTAAACCCTCCGTAGCCACAACCCACAAGCGCAAACATTTAACAAAAATCCCTTTCACCCCACTCGACCAAAGAATAAAATGGAGAAAAAGGAGCTGGTCTTGATTCTAGACTTCGGTTCTCAATACACCCACCTCATAACAAGGCGAATTCGTTCTCTCTCCGTCTTTTCTCTATGCATCTCCGGCACTTCTTCTCTCGAAACGATTGCCTCCCATAATCCACATGTAGTTATTCTCTCCGGAGGGCCCCACTCCGTCCACGCCCCTGACTCGCCCGCTTTTCCCACCGACTTCCTCGAGTGGGCCCAGTCCAATGGTGTCTACGTGCTTGGAGTCTGTTACGGGCTCCAGTTGATGGTACAGAAACTTGGGGGTGTTNAGACAAGATAAGCAACAATCATGCAACTATAAAAACAACTGATCATCATGCTACAGCAACACAAAAACTCAAGAAAAAATTTATACATACATTTGAGTTGTGAAAATATAAACAAAAGCAAAACAAGCAATAATGGCGAGTGATGGTGAAGTTATGAACAACAAGCAAGTTATATTGAAACACTTCGTTGATGGAGCTCCAAAAGAATCTGACATGTTGGTGAATCAATATCTTTGAAAGTCACTGCAACCACTGAAACAGCAGTGTGGAGCTGTGCATTCTGGGCTCTCTGTTACAGCAACCACTACTGCGTCTTCATCTTCAAGAAAGAACGAACAGTCTACCAAGACTTCTTGCTCCTTGTTTTTCCATGTCGCCTTTTCTTCAGCAAAACACTTCCTGCTCCTTGTTTTTCCATAAAGAGCACGTATAAAAATGGTGAATTTTGATATTTTGAGTAGCAAAAACCTTTTCTTTTCCTTTCTCGGTCGCTTTTTAGTGTTTACTCCATTTCCCATGGATCCAGAGTTGGGTGTGGGTCGGTAAGAAGTAGTAATATTAAGTAAACGAAAGTTTTCGTTTTTATTGTCCATTCAATATGTTTAGGCTCAACTCAAAGCTTTGTATTTGTATTGGGTTCCTTTTCCTTTGGCGTTTGGCCTTGAACCTGGGGTAAAAACTTAAAAGCCTCGAGAGGTCTCATTAGTTTGCTACTCTCCTTCACTTTATTCTCTTCAAATTCGATACTTTGCTGTGTAGTGTACCCAGAACCAGAACGAGGTTTTATTTTTATTTTGGTTAAAGATTTATACATACATCTATAACATCTCAATAACACTGGACAAGAAGAAGAAAGGAGATGGGGAATGAAGACAAAGAAAAAGAGAGGAGATGGGGAATGAAGACGAAGAAGAAGAGGTTTAGAATTTTTTTTTATTTTTTATTTTTAAAGTATGGACGAGCGTCCATTCCTAATGGACGCCCGTCCCAAAGTTTTTTTTTTTTTTTTTCATATTTTGGTTAAGGACGGGTGTCCCTTATTTGCAAGCGCTCGTCCAAAATAAAAGGACGGCCGTCCATAACGAATGAACGGCCGTCCCTAATGTTTATAAAATTTTTTTATTATATTTTAATTACGGACGGACGTCCTTTAAATAGGGATGCCCGTCCCTGGTATATGGACCCCTGTCCATATAATATGGACGGGAGTCCATGTGAGTAAACGGTCATCCATATTTGATGGACGGCCGTTCACTAGAAAAAAATTGATAAAAAAATTGAGTCACACGTACACGTAGGCTGGTACATATTTTCGGTACAAATTTTTCGATATCCATAGCTTTGTTGCTGTAGCATTATTGTATAGAAATATTATTAAAGTTCAAGAATATTAATATGAATTCTGAGCCAAGTTGGGCTTCAACATCGGCGGATCCGAAACGAATTGGGCTTTCACATCATTCTTTTTTAATTTTTAAAAGCGCATTGTCTTCTTCTATATACCCTGCTTACCTGGAACTTGGAATAATGGAATATCCCACCCCTTCCCGCCAAAGAATATAATAAAACCCTAACCCACCCTAAACCCTCCGTAGCCACAACCCACAAGCGCAAACATTTAACAAAAATCCCTTTCACCCCACTCGACCAAAGAATAAAATGGAGAAAAAGGAGCTGGTCTTGATTCTAGACTTCGGTTCTCAATACACCCACCTCATAACAAGGCGAATTCGTTCTCTCTCCGTCTTTTCTCTATGCATCTCCGGCACTTCTTCTCTCGAAACGATTGCCTCCCATAATCCACATGTAGTTATTCTCTCCGGAGGGCCCCACTCCGTCCACGCCCCTGACTCGCCCGCTTTTCCCACCGACTTCCTCGAGTGGGCCCAGTCCAATGGTGTCTACGTGCTTGGAGTCTGTTACGGGCTCCAGTTGATGGTACAGAAACTTGGGGGTGTTGTCAGGGTTGGGGAGAAACAGGAATACGGGCGGATGGATATTCTGGTGGAGGGTAGTTCGGGAATATTTGGGAATAAGAAGTTGGGTGAACGGCAGGTCGTTTGGATGAGTCACGGAGACGAGGCCGCTGTGTTGCCTGATGGGTTTGAGGTTGTGGCTAGAAGCCAGCAGGGGGCTGTTGCTGCTGTTGAGAATAGAGAGAGGAGGCTTTTTGGGCTTCAATATCATCCGGAGGTATTTGGCTTTGCTCTAATTATTGAATTTGGTTTTTGTTATCCTTTGTACTTGTTTTGATTATGTGGATTTTTTTTTTTTTTATTATTCGTGGTGTAATGGAGGCGAAATATTTCTTCAATGTGATTTATTTATATTTGCTGGAAAGCTGTTCTGAAGCAAACTTGTTATTTGGAAACTGCAGTTTCATTGGTATGAAACTGAGTTTTGCATTGGTGTGGTTCAAATCTTGCATAACCGAATGTGAAAAAATTGATGTATCTTATTGCTTATATAAGATTATTTTGGTGAGTAAACTTGATTTGGAACCATATGTTGTGGTAGAATTGTGTTGTTTCTGGAACCATGGATATGTAGTATCAGTCAAGCTCATTGTGATATGAGTCTAGGAAGGATTATCTTGCCCTCATTGGAGCATGTGACCTGTGAATGTAGTGCATTAATGGAATTATTATAGAAAGTTTTTATTGGCATGTAAAGTTCTATCTTGAATAGTTTGATTTTTGAATTTTATGTAGGTGACACACTCACCTGAAGGGATGGAAACACTACGGTATTTTCTCTTTGATGTTTGTGGAGTCAGTGCTGGCTGGAAGATGGAAAATGTATTGGATGAAGAAATTAGAATAATCAATGACAAGGTGGGGCCTGAAGAACATGTCATTTGTGCTCTATCTGGTGGTGTAGATTCCACAGTTGCTGCTACACTTGTTTATAAGGCAATTGGGGATAGGCTTCACTGTGTTTTTGTTGACAATGGCTTGTTAAGGTGAGTGAATGATCGGGTTTTTCTTGGGCCTTAAAGGTTGATAAAAATCCTTAAATTTTTTTTTATTGTTTGCCCTTTCAGTTTCTCTCTCGTAAGATTTTCCATTTATTGTTTATTTTCTGTAGGTACAAAGAGAGAGAACGCGTTATGGAAACCTTTGAAAAGGATCTACATCTACCAGTAACTTGCGTTGATGCTACAGATCAGTTTCTTAGTAAGCTGAAAGGTGTGGTAGATCCTGAGATGAAGAGGAAGATAATTGGAAGGGAATTCATATGCATCTTTGATGCTTTTGCCAATGAGTTGGAGCAGAAATTAGGAAAGAAACCTGCTTACTTGGTCCAAGGAACCTTGTATCCAGATGTAATTGAATCATGCCCGCCACCTGGAACAGGAAGAACCCACTCCCATACAATCAAAAGCCATCACAATGTTGGGGGCCTTCCTAAGGACATGAAGTTGAAGCTCATTGAACCGCTTAAACTTCTATTTAAAGACGAGGTTTTGCTCTGAATTTTCCTGCCTGTTCACTACATACTTAGAAAGATGATATTCTTTTTTTCCTCTCATAATTTTCTGATGTTATTTTTTTCACTCGTTTATGAAGGTTCGTCAACTTGGGAAAATTTTGAATGTTCCTGAACCATTTTTAAAGCGTCACCCATTCCCTGGGCCTGGCCTTGCAGTACGAGTCCTAGGTGATGTAACTGATGGCAATGCGTTGGATATCCTCCGCCTGGTATGTGTTGTTTGTGCATGGATTGGGAATCACGTTTTATCTTTCATCACTCTATCAACAATAATTTACATGCTGTCTTTTCCTGTTTTTCTTTTAGGTGGATGAAATTTTCATTCAATCAATCAAGGATGCTGGGCTTTATGATTCAATTTGGCAAGCTTTTGCAGTGTTTTTGCCTGTAAGATCAGTTGGAGTTCAAGGTGATCAAAGAACACATTCACATGTTGTTGCTCTTAGAGCTGTTACAAGCCAAGATGGAATGACAGCAGATTGGTAAGCCTTCATTTTTTTTCACATGTTTAGTGCAATTTGGGCATGTAAAATGTTGAAAATAGTGTTTTTTTTTTTCCCCCGAAAGATGTAACCTTAGGGTTCCCATGCTTGTCAAATTGGTTTCTACAATTTGGTAAATGTTTGTTATTCTCTCAACCTAATTGATTTTTCTGGATAATCGGTTGGAAGCAGAGGCAGAACTCTTGGAACTTGAGTTGGCTTTGAGACAATTTAAGATTTAAGGTCAATTGTGATTGTGTCAATGTTGATGATTTCTTTTCTATATGTTTATGAGCTAACACACCACCCATATAAGCATGTCTAAATGCAGTTAGTTGGGCTTCTAAATTTATGAGCCCCATTGGAAACGTATATTTGGTGAATTTATTACCTAGTTGAATTCCTTGTTTTTGCATCTAGTATTTCACCAATGAGGATTGACATTTTTCAAGCATGAGATCAGCTAGGATGAGGAGAGGGCCATAAAAGATTTGGCACTAATCATCATTGGAACATCCAGTGGCTAGTATTCCACGCCAGTTATGCTGAGTTGTCGCTAAACAATTAAAATAAGCCATTGATATCTTCCATTCATTGTGTTATGTTCATGTAGCCTGAATTTATGACTATCCCCGATTATTCTGATGAAAAAACTAGTTTATTTTCAAGCCTAATACTTTAGTTTTCATTCCCTTTCTATGAACATTCTACCCCTATGTCCACCCATAATGCAGCAATTTATCATGGTGGAAGATCTTAGAGGCCCTAAAGTAAATAATATAAGATAAAAAGCTTAGCATGCAAAAAATTTATTGTCAAATTTGTTTTCTAGAGTCAGTGTATGCTTATTTTTATCTCGGAGATTATTATTTAGCTGCTATGTTCCACAAAATGAGTGTAGGCATTTTGGTTTTTTGCCAAGTGAAACTAAATATTCCTTATATATCTTATTTTCTTATTTCAGGTATTATTTTGAGCATAAATTCCTTGATGATGTAGCAAGAAAAATTTGTAACAATGTTCGGGGTGTAAACCGAGTTGTTCAAGACATCACATCCAAGCCTCCATCTACAATTGAGTGGGAATGATCATCTGTTGGTTGCCTTATTGATTAATGGGAAGTAACGGACTTTATGGTCTGTAGAACTAAGGTGATGCATTAATTATTACCTTCTCTTTGCCTATAATTCCGTAAGTTGGCAAGAAGGAATTGGAATCAAGCAGAATTTCATGATGCTTGATGTCTCTGCTGATTTCCTTTTTGCCAAATTATAAGAAGGTAATACATATTGGAGGGTCAATAGCTTAAATGTTTGTAGAGAAATTTTTTGTTAGCTCAATTTTATGCTATATTTCTGACCACATCGGTTTTTAATCAATGGTTTTTCGTTTGAGTCTTTTGCTATATTTATATGAAAATTGTGTTTTATATTTTCAAGCCTAGTGAGAATTGTGTAGCTGATGTGAATTTGTGACTTCACCATCAAAATTTTGTTAGCCAGAACTGAGCAATGTTTAATTCTTGCTTGAGCAACCTGGTGTCTCTTGATTCTTCTTGAAATAGTGGGTTTTGACAGCTTCAGTGTTGTGATACTATCATCGTTGCCGTCACTCAGTGGTTCTAATTTTTATATATGGTAGCAGTAGTATCAACAACAATTAGCAGAGATGACTATGTTGTCGATTATGGGTTGTGGTCTCCACCATCATAGTGATTCTGGTATATTTTAAATTTGATTTACCATTAGTAGTGTTGACTAAGATAGGCACAATCACCTGTCTCTTTGCATTGCTATACCGGACCAATCCTAATTGTAAAGATGTGTTCAGATTTGCATGGAAAACGCATACATATCTTGTAATAATTAGTGGCAGACAACAGTGATTATGATACACTTTAGAAAAAAGTTTAATTCGAAAATTGAGCTTATAAACTTTTATATAAGTTCTACCAATCTCCCCTTTCTCTATGTAGCCTTATTACTAAATTTTGAACAGTAGATAGAAAACTATTCCAATTTTCCTGTTTAATTATGTCACAATTGCAGATTTCTGTTGAGCTTCCTGTGCTAGATTTATCCCAACCAGTGCATCCCTCTTTTTTGTCTACCCTTTCTAGAGCTTGTCAAGAATGGGGTTTTTTTTATGTCACCAACCACGGTATCTCCCAAAACATGTTTGACAAAGTTTGTGCATTTTCCAAGCACATGTTTAGTAATCCCTCAGATACCAAGCTCAAGCTTGGTCCATTTTCATGCATTAAAACCTGCACTCCATATTTTATAGCTTCGCCTTATTTTGAGAGCCTTAGAGTGTCTGGACCAGACTTCTTTGCCTCTGCCAAGGCTTCTGCAGACGTGCTCTTTGCTCAACAGAGTTCAGAATTTAGGTAATATACTCTTTGTTATCTTTATGCTATGGTTTTGTTGATCATTTATGTGTACTTATGTATATTTTTTTTTTCTCTATTCCATCTCTTAGCGAGATATTGAAAGAGTATGGAATCAAGATGATGGAGTTATCTAAGACAATTATAAAGATTATATTAATGAGTCTGGGAAATGGTTATGAAAGAAAGTTTTACGATGCAGAATTTATTAACTGTCATGGGTATCTAAGGTTAGTAAATTATACACCACCAGAGATGGTAGAAGAAAATCATGTTGAAGGACTTGGAATGCACACTGATATGAGTTGTAGAACAGTAGTCTATCAGGATGAGATTGGTGGACTTCAGATGAGGTCTAAAGACGGGCAATGGATGGACATATGTCCATGTGAGAATTCTCTAGTTGTTAATATTGGAGATTTGTTGCAGGCTTGGAGCAATGGAAGATTAAGGTCATCCGAACATCGGGTTGTTTTAAAGCGACGAGTAAATTGCCTTTCACTGGCCTTCTTCTGGTGCTTTGAAGATGAAAAGGTGATCTTAGCACCAGCAGAAGTTGTGGGGGAAGGATCTCCTAGAATATACAAGCCCTTTGTTTGCTTGGATTATCTTAAGTTTAGAGAGAGTAATGAGGAAAGGTAAATTTGAGAGAATTGCATATACAGTCAAAGATTTTGCAGGAATAAAATAGCAAGTGCAGTGTCAGCAGTTGCGCTTGTGACGCTATTAGTATTTATTGAAGTGTTTTGACTTCCAATGGAACATTACAATGAGAACAGGGGAGAAAAGTTAGATGGGTCGAGATGTGATTGATGTGCAAGAAAGAATTTGTCCCTTGAAGGATTCTAACAAGTACTATAAAGTGATGGTACAAATATACAGTAGAGTTGATATTCAACTTTTGTGTAGTGTGAACTGAATTGTATCCTATTAGCTTTTTCTGATCTTTTCATTTGATTTCTTGTCTCTACTTCATTGCTTTGACAAATGGGGTCTTTATGAAATAAATAAATTTTATTTCATTCCACTCTAGTATTCTAGAATATCAAAACCGACGTAGCTTGTTATCATATTTTCAAAGTTAATGGGCGAAAATGGGTCCATCTTGGTGATCATTTCACCCACAAATATGGGGCCAAGAGACCACTGCCACTTCCTTTTTAAACTTTCCCAATAGTGCCATGATTAATCATATTAAATGGCTGTCTATAAGAAACTAAAGGTAAGAAGACAAAAATCTTTGCAGAAATCAGCGATTATTTAATATTGTGAATTGCCATTAACTGATAGATTTAGATTCTCTGAACGAAAGGTGTCACTTCCAAATATCCATAATTTACAAGACTACAAAAGACCATTTCAAATGGCTGGCAAGATAAACCCCACTTTCAAAACAAACAACTGGACTGGCAAAAGCGAATTAGTGCCAGATTTTCAATTTCTTCAGTCTCTCTGATATAACATTAACACACTTACCTAGATTTTCAAAATCAGGAAAAAGGGTTACTCATTGCTACTTTATTATCCTCTGTTACTGTTCCCTGCTTTTTGTGTTACTGTTCCCTGCTTTTTGAGGAGGTTTGATTGAGTTTTAAGTGCACTTTCTTTTTGCCGGTGCCAACTAAAACCTGTTAGCTTTAATTAAGTGAGCTGATATTTGCCATCGGAATATCCTTTACTTTTGTCATTCAGTCTAAAAGATTTGGTGGGTCATTTTTATCAAAACGTGATGCATGAAATGAAATCAGTAGTATAGAAAAGAGGTCTTTTTGTTCACATTCTGAATTTAAGCTTAATAGTGTGTCTCACATGCATCCACACAACATTAAATAATTAATTTGATTTGATTTAACAGCCGACCAACTAACCCACTCTGTATCATGTGTAATTAATTACTGCCATTTTATTATTTTCTTCTTTATTTGATTATCTGGATTTGGTTTGACAATGTAATGTAATATCTGAATTCTCACTATTCAAAGAAAGTATCAGTACTATATGTAGTCTGTTAACCTGCATTTAACAAACTGTTTAATCAGAGACTATATATTATATTAGGGTTTTGCTGGAATCTCGAGGGAGTCTCCTTTTTTTTTTTTTTTTTTATAACAATTTGAGTCAGACTTGCTGGGCAGCCTGCAACATAGTGTAATCCATTAGATTATATTATCATTAGTCAATTTAAGCACATGCAAATCCTCTCCATGTATAATTTAGGGTTCACATGGTATCACCTCTCAAATTTCCATGAAAGTGTGTCGGTATGCAGTATAATTTTTCTGATTTTGTGGTTAACAGAACCACCTAATAACTATACAGATTTCTTTCTAGGAATTCGTTTTTAACTCGTATCAATAAAAGCATTTTCAATTTCTTTTCTTTCTTTTAATAAGAGTTGCCGTTGTCAAAACAGCAAGGCTCACCTCAACTTGTGGCATAGCATGTATCTTTGTTAATTCACCTTTGACTGGGCTGTTGGTTTGTGGATTTATTTTGGATGAGTTCAAGTCATTGGATTGGACAAGTTTTCTGAGTATAAGAGTATAGACTTTGGTTTTTAAGAAAATTACATTACGCAGAATAAGTTTACTCTCTCTACTCCCAGGAAATTCCCAGGAATGTGTTTGTCAAACCCCTATGATCCATGGAACCTTTCCTTGTTACATAATAGAATGGAACGAGGTAAGCAGCGATTGTAGTATTAAACAAAATCTATAGTTGTGAGCAGAAAACAAGATTCAACATTTCCATGCAACTCTTTGAAGTGATTGTTTGATCATCCCTATTGATGCGACAGTTGATCCCTTATTCTGCAACAGACACACACGTACATAGTTATGAGAATTGGCAATTGGTGGCTTGTCGCTAATTATGTTCTATAAGAGACAAATTAAAAAGATAAAATGCATACCTTAGATTGGACTGTGAGTGAAAGGATTCCTTCAATGGTGGATGATTTTACCGAATGAGAATCTAAATGAAGATTGCTTAAAGCATCCATGATCTCAAGCAAGACTCCCTCCCTCCAAGGACACTTCATTTCAATTAGAACATTCTTGTCATTGATACCGACTGTTATATTATCTGTTGAACTATCTTTTATGGCAACATATTCTATCTCTGGCTCCATTTCATCCATGTCACGAGCCTTTCTCTTATTTAACAATGGCTTCTTTCCATTACTGATACTGTTGTTGCCATAATTATCAGATGTCCTCTCAACTGAATCCTTGTGCTTTACAATTGTTCTTGCCTCGAACTCTGGTACTTCTCTGCGAGATTCGAGTTCTTCGACCTTTCTCTCAAGCTCTTGCAGGTATTCTATTGTGTCATCTAGTATAGATACTTTGTCAAACTGCACAAACAAGCAGAAATTCAATATGGTGATGAATGTCTGATGAAATTCAGTAAATAATCAGGTTTTAACTACCTTGCTGATAGAAGGGACTATTGATTTGAGAATAATGAATCTGTCATTTAGTTTATCTCTTCGTAACTTCTCTGACAATGCATGGCTTGAAGCAAATTCATCAGCCTCTGGTCTCCAAAGACTGTCTTTAATGCCGTTATCTTCTGGTGAATCAACTAATCTATTATTATTCATCCGAGGAACTTCAAACAAAATCTTTTTCAACAATTTTTGGGGGACTACATCTCTTTGTATCAAACCATTCATCATTCCACCCTTCTTCCAACTAACAAAGCTGGATTCATGATTGCAGTTGTGATACTGTGGCCCCAAAATTAATTGATGGGAGGTCTTTAGAACGGCTGAAAGAACAGTTTGGTAGTGTAAATCTTTACTTCCAGGATCCAATGAAGTAAGCTTAGTGTGATTGCAATCTTGACCTTCTTGCAAACAGTGGTCGATTGTGTTGTCATCTACGGGAGCAGAGACAACTTTTCCAGGATCTACAAATGTTTGAGATATACAGTCACTAGAGTTCATGGAATGGTGGACGCAGTTACTGAATTCATCATCTAAGAACTGCCAGCTTTGTACTTGAGAAGCCACCCCATTTATGCCTTCAACCATAAATGAATCTTCTGCTGGTTGGTTGGGCTCAATGCCATTTGAACTGCTGGGAGAAGCCATTTCTAACACTTCACATCCTACAACTGGAACCATTGTGCTCTCAAGCATCTGTGGATCAACTACAGCACAAGCGAAATCTTTATCACTTCTGACATTCCCAGCACCGGTAGACTTACTGGAAACTATGGGATATGGAGTCTCCAAGAATGAAGTTCTAATGTGTTGAATGAAACCAGGGTCCTCCAAAACCTAGAAAAGTCATAAAAGAGCAAGATGACTTAATTGCATCAAAATGTACAAAGAGCAAAATTCAGAATGATGACAGTGAAACAGAAATCTACAGAAAATTTACCCGGTCAGTTACACCCAGCTCAACCACACCTCGCAAAAATGGAAAGCATACAACTGTCTGAAAGTCAAAACAAGAGAAAACATGACCATGGCTCCTAGTTGTACAAAAACTTTTATGGTAAGAGGTTTACTATGCTCTCATGTCTTATTTAATATGTTTACATCTGTATATAACCAGAGTTTGAGCAGTAAATAAATCAATTTGGATGGGATGAACATCTGAACCTCCTAAAGTCTCCACAATATGATGCCTATTATAGATTTGATGAATTATTTGAATATGTTTTCAGTTTCTATGGATGAAAGTATCTGATGCAATATTGAAAAATATGCAGGGGCAATCAATAACTGCAGTGTACCTGAATAGATGCACTCTGAGGGAACCAGTTGTGACAAATTCCAAACATGAAACAAAAACATACAAAGGTAAACTGTTTAGTTTCTTCCACGATTAAGAATATACCATCAACCGATACATTAGGTGGAATATTAAATTTTGAACTAAGAAACATTATTCTACCTTCGCAAGTAGAGAGCGACTGAACACTTTGCTATCTGCATAATGAGCATTACATAGCCAGATAGGTTGACCATTAGCCAACGCCCTTCCTGGCAACCTAATAACAATTTAGGGGAAGATTTAACGACAAATAAAGATTAATGTGTAACCAATGTGAATGATTAATTTTAGAGATGTAAAAGCAATTACCCTTCACCAATGTTGAATACAAATGACATGCAAACCAAAAAATACCACTCGGTATCAGTGAGATCTTCAGGGGATAATGCTGCTGATGGTCTTCTAGCTTGTGGACTGCTCTCACCGGCGGAGAGGGATTCATATAGTTCTCTCAATTGCTCAGTCCTCTGCAAACCCAATTGGTCAGCATTGAGTTCAACTGCTTGAATTGTTTTTCTGGTCTTAATATCTCCATTGTAGTAACCATCACCCCATTCCAAGACCCTGAAAGATTCACATTGCAATCAATTAGCACAGACAAAACAAACATGAGCTTTTGCATACAAGTGACTTAACTTATAATGAAAATCATATACTTTTCTTTTAGATCGAGAGACAGAGATCATTTGAAGCCTGGGAAACCAAAATATATAAGAGATTCAAATACTTAGACAGCTAAAGATTGTAATATCAAAACCATGAAGCTCAAATTGTAATCTAAGCAAATTCAGCTGCTCAGCCATTAAAGTCAGTTCATACTACACTTTTTCTAAACTATGACAAACAATGTAGAGCTACAGGAGATTTATTGAACTCTGAAGCTAACATGAAGATCAAAACAGAAAAGAAGCAAGAGAGAGAATGAAAATGGACAAAATATTATGAAAAAAGGTCAACTTTTCTGCTCTCAACGGCAAAATATACCTAAATCCGGAAGTACACAGTGCCCATTCAACATCAAAGTACGAAAATCTCAAGGAGACCCAGAAGAGAAATTTGTAAGCCAGGACCAGAAGTAAAAATAAAAAATAAAAATCTGAGACTTCATACAGAGTAATTTATTTACTTTTGTCCTTTTAGAAATCAAAGATACATATGAAGTATAAGAAACAAGAATAACGGCAGAACTGGAATTTTCATTACCCGGGTTGTGAAGCTGAAATGGACCAGAAGATTGCATAGCTCCACTGGATACTTCTCACCGCAAGAGCAAGCTGTTTCTTCAGATTCTCTGGAACCCCAGAAGCCATTTTCAACACAAAAATCTTTTGCTCAAAGTGATACAAAACCCACCAATGAATCAGCTGCAAATAAATTCTTGCTCAAACAGTAACATATTTACTGTTACAAGAAAAGAAGTAGTGGAACTCCACTAAGTAGCTAAAGCTCATAGTAACTCAAAGGTTTTTCTGTTTTTGGGTAGTTGTGAAGGCTGAAAGCTAGAGAAACTGATAATTATCAGATGTGTGCACGACACTTAATATAGTAATTAACTATGAGTGAAGTAGTAGTAATTAAATTTTTTTCCTGTTGTGTTCAGACTCGGATCGCTCACTTTGATGAAGAAAAAAAGAAATAATATCTTAGTTTCAATCTCAAAAATGGGCATAAAAGCTTGAAACTTTGTTAAACAAGACCAAAAAAGAGTGAGAGTGGGGGAGCCGAAAAACATACACAAAGAGCTTATTTTATTGGCTCTTGTTTTGGAGCTCGAAAAAGGAAAAAAAAATCAAGAAAACTAATTCAAGACCCTAATAAAGATCTGAGCTTTCTCCGACCCATAAAACAGAAACACTTGGTCCTACAAACCGAACCCAAAACACCACTATCTGTGAAGTGGTTGCAATAATTTTCACCCACAAAAATTAAAACTTTCAGAACCAGTTGATTTCAAACAAAACACGCCTCAATGGCAACGCTACTTTAATAGAGAAAAGAGCTTAAACATAATCAAGAATAATATATGCATGTCTGTATGAAAGTGGTTCACTCTGTCATGCTAATTTTTTTTTTCAGCTACCAAAAGAAGACACAGATAGGAAGAGAAAGATTCTGTTGTTTTGATCCAAAGCTATAACAAAGAGAGAGAGAGAGAGAGAGAGAGAGGGGGGGAGAGTAGAGACATGGTGCAAAAACAGTGGGTCACATGATATCATTTAAGCAGGGAGAAGGTCGTCCTGTATGGTTGACGATGGTGGGATCTGGTGAGAAATAACAAACAAAAAAACAAAAATAATAATTATGTCCTTACCAAAAAAATAACAAGGTAAGATGTAATCTATTCCTGCAATAAGCAATGCCTTTGCTTCATCTATACTATCGTATTGTAGATATATACATATACTACTGTCTACTGTAACATAATTAATCCATTAATGCTTTAACTAATAAACTTTCAGATTAGTAAAATGTGGGTTTATATATCTTTAGAGAGTTAAAGATGATTGAAAGACCCTTTCAAATTTAACACATGTGACGGCTCGAATCTCAGTCAACGTCATTGTTCCATATGTGCATAAAATTGGGTTTCAACTTTCACGGCTCGGCTAAAAGCTATAACTAAAAGCCATGCTAAATTACACAGTGCAGAACTGTTGTTGCAGAATAAAAACCAGTCATACTAGAATTATTGCAGAATCTCCGGTACATAAATTTGAAAAGAAAATGGGAGAAGACAGAAGAGTGTGGTGCTGGAAAGGGGTCGTGCCTCAATGAACAAAGAGTCAAAAACATTAAACTATAGGTGGACTGTAAAGAGAAAGAACACTTAGAATAGGCCTGTCAGAAGCTAAGCTACATATATAAAAAGTAACGGAGTTTAGAAAATGAGTGGTTGTTTGCCGTTGGTAATGGTATGGCCATGCTTAAATCAGACAAAGCTGAATCCACATGGAGAGAATGTGTGTTTCATCACCATCAATTCGTCATCATCATCACTATCTGCTATAGCTAGATTCTTTTCCTTTTTAGATTACTGGGTTTAAATAAGAAGAGAAATAAAAAAAAACAAAAAAAAAACTCAGGAAAAGCAATGTGAAAATTTGGTATCACAATCATGAAGATGAAGGAACAATATCTGATATTGGTCCACTGTCCCGTGATCAATTGCAGCATCACCATGATTGATAATTTCCCAGAAAAAAATTAAAAAAAAAACAATCTGATATGATTGATTTCCAAGAAGACAAATACCATTACATAGTTTTAACTTAAGTCACTTGGTATTATTGATCCATCGTTTTCAAGTTGAGTAAAACTACTATCCACTCGTTTAAAATCCTTGAGAAACTTTATAATAACTTCGCCATCGAAGTTAGGTCCAGCATTGACCAAACTTTATTAAAAGTAAGACACGTATATGACTTGAACTAAGAAGAAATTTGCATGTAAAATCTTGAAAAATGGTTCCTTGTGATGGGAAACATGAAGGAAAACTACGAAACGTTTTACAACAACATTGAAAATGTTTCCATCGTATTACATCAAACCCTTGTTGCAGAAAAAAAAAAAAATACCCACTTGTGTTTTGTATCGTAATCAAGTAAAAAGTTGGGCCAACTTGAATTGATTGTCAAACTAACAACGTAATAACCTTCATTTATTAAGATATATTTTAATGGTGTTTGCAAAAACTGTAAATATAATTCAATTAATGGTGTGTCTTGGTGAACTGCTCCCCAAAGAGGAGGTCGTTTTCGAATTAATGGACTTGTGAACAAACGACTTTATGATTTTTGGTTGAATTATTGTAGCATTGGAAAGAAAATCTCTCAAACTTTATTATCATGATATGAACTTCAAGAATAAGTCATGACAAATTCTGATTTATATTGATTTTGATTGAATATTTATTCAAGAAGAATCATGTGGTTAATATGAACGCATAGATTCTAAAGGAAGGTTTGTTTCCTATTTTGAGTTTCTGAATTCAAACTTTAAAGATACCGTTTTATGTATTTATAGGGTATTCAATTGATCTCAAAGATTAGTTTAAGTACAGATAAATTAATCCGGACACCTTATTACCGAAAAAAAAAAAAAAAGACAAAAATAATGAAGGGAAATTTATATTGATTTTGATTTCTCTGTCGCAATCACAGGCTTACTTTGTGTCTCCAATTACGCCCTGCACATCTTAATGTAAAGATTCATGGGTCACCATTACACTTACTATTTCTTGGGAATTTCATAAAAGAAAATTCGGTATGTGCATAAGACAATGCCATGTGTCCTTTTATTTTACAATCAAAATTAATTAAAAGAAAAATAGTAAGTGGAGATGATGTTTGTATAATTAATTGGGCCCATAATTTTTTTTTCTTTTAGCCTAAAAGATCATGCATGACAAATACATGTATGGCACGTGGCTATGGTTCATTATTGGAGTTGCTTTGCTAACGTATTTACATATAAAATTACAAAATTCAATAACCAAATGCAGAAAGAACTGAGGAGGAGATATGGCATTTGATAATTGACTTTCCTAATTTATTAAAGTTTTTTTGTTTTAAAAAATCACGATTATCATGCATTATCTTATTTTATTTTTACCTTAATTAGTGAGTTTAAAGTATGTCTCACTTGACTTTAACTAAGGATATCATTCGCGGAAAAGAATTAAAAGAGTACCAATTAACTAGACTCATTTAGAAAGATGATATATAGGTCGGAGTGAGATGTTAGGATTTTTGGTTAGTGGGGGTCAAAAAGAGGAATCCCTTTTTTTTTTTTTTTCTTTTGTTTTTAAGTAATTGAGATATCCGAGCCCACATTAGAGTTTGTTTAATCCTTGAGGTCACGAAACACCTACAAACCTAATGGATTAAAGTAATTGTACAAATGTGGTATGTACTTCTCTTGCAACTCGAATACAAGATCCTTTAAAAGGTTTGTCATTCGGTCATAAGAGGAGAGGTGAGGAATCCATTATTCACTGTTATAATTTTAAACCCAATAAAAACTCATAACTCATGATATCTCATCAATTAAGAAAGATAAAAGAAAATTATTTTTAAGCAAAATAACAAAAAATGAGCATCATCTTACCTTGTGACCTTCAAAAGAGTAGTATTTCTTGATTGATTCAATCAATCAAAGGACGAAGAAAATATGAGATGAGAGGAGAGAAAATGTGAATAATATGTTAATTAATATTGTTGATGCGTGATTTTTACACTAACGAAACGCACGTGTGAAATGCTGAGTTGACCTAGAAGACACACGTGAATGTAATGGATAATGAGATAGTGAACGCAATGGGGACAGTTTTTAAAGTGGTTCGGATGCTAAGGTAGCAAGTCTTATGTTCACTGATGCTTATATTGATGATAAAGGTCAGGTCGCTTTTAGCTGACTGACTTTACAATAATATTACAAGGTATTTGAATGCTAAGAATTCTAGGAAAGAGAGGATAATTAATCAAGCGTAAAATGTGCTAAATCCCCTTCAATGAGAGATGAGCTTCCAATTTATAGTGAGATGTCACGAGGCAATGATCACTAAATCTGTAAGTTGGTAGGATTATCCGTGCAAATCCTTCTTTATGTCACATTGTCCACCTTCCAGAGTGATTTACGCGATTTAGAGCAAGGATTGGACACGTGAGAGCACCACAGCTCTTGACTAGCTTGACGCGCACCTACTATCCTGACGGACGCAGACGATGGTTGTTCCAATGATCTGACTTTTGTGGGCTGAAAGGACCTGACGTCAGCCCTTATATTTTTTAAGCATAACAAATATAAATCTTACGAGGTCAATATAAATTTAAGTGGGGTCAAAATTGTCTATTATTAAAAAAAAAAAAATTATTTTAATTTATTTTAAATTTTCAATAGCTTCAAGCGAACCCATCCGGCCGGCCATGTTCAATAAAGTGGTTACGTCCCTGGAGATGAGAGATGACACCGTCTTTAAGTTTCACTATATGACGTGGGTAAGGAACAAATTTAAACCTCACTATTTGAGATGACACTTGATGAGACGAATCTAAACTCTATTATTTGAGAAAGATTAAAAAAAAACAAAAAGATACAAACCCCACTAAATAAAATGATTAGAACAAACGTCTCCAAATCCCATTTTGTGAAATGGATAGGTGATTTACATTGTGGTTCACTGAATTCTGATCTTGGCCCACATATTTATACCCAAATTTAAGACTTGTTTTTGGCGTTTTAAATTGTTGGCGGAGACTTCAGCTCTGCGGGGGGGCTCAGCAAGCTACTACTAGCAGCAATAGCCGGCTTCGAAACGAACGTATACGACAACATATTAGTAAAACAAAAAAGGGAGCTTTATTTATTTATATAATCTGATCCCTTATTTAATTACCCACCACCTAATGGTCAAACTTGTTTTTAATGGCGGCTTCAATGCCCTGTATTCATACTTTGGAGAGGTCAAGTTGGTTCCAAGAACCTGTAATTTTGATGGCCTTTCATTATGCTGAACTGGCAAAATCTTATCTGCCTGATTTCAATTCAATATTAGTGGGTTAGTGGGTTTACATTATGATCAAATGCAATTGAAGAAAGATCCATTAAAACCAGAACAGGGAACTGCTAGACATTGGGAAAATTTTGAGAAGGAAAATGCGGCACGGTATTGGCAATTCAGGGGTGGAGAGAAACGTGGTCGTTGTCTTTGGTATTTGTCATATTCAATTATTGTAGTTTGACAAATACTGATCAGGTCTTTTTTGGAGAAGGTTTTGGGCATGCGACACTCACTGACTCAACAGTATAAGAAGCTTTATAATTCCTCAAGAAGCCCCACGGTCTTCTCTTGTTTTGTCATGCATATTTCTCAAATTTTAATTATATTTTATACTGTTTTAGATGTTAACTAGGTAGAAGAATCTATCCATTTGATTTGTGAATTGGTAGAGGAAACCTATAAATGAAGGCAAGTGTACGTGAAGGGAATCAATCAATGAATGCCCTCATGATAATGCTATCTATTAGAGTTTTGACATATACTATTTGTTTTTCTTGTGATTGAGATTGGTACATTAATTAAACCAAAGTGTTGTTGTGGTCCTCCTCCTCCTTCATCATTTGAAGGGAAGAAGATATGAGAATGTCATCTACATCTTCATCATGAAAAAGGTATATCCATAAGATAGGGATAAACCAATATGTGTTTGTGCTATAATTTCATCAACTCCACTACAATATCCACTTATCTTTTGCGTCTCTCCAAAGGGTAGTACTATACTCACAAACCCGTCTCATTAATTTTCTTTTATAAACGTTATATGACAGCTCGTAATTAGTCAGCTTGCAATGAATTTTACCAGCCCAACAATAAGTTATACTTAACTAATTAAGAGTTGTCACGTCATGTTTGTGAGAGAAAGTTAGTGAAAAGAGTTTGTCAATCTATCTTTAATACTTTATTGCTCTCCAACAACATCCAACAAAAAAAAAAAAAAAAAAAAAGAATCACAAAAACCCACTTGGTAGAAACAAAATTACCTTTGATTAAATCATAATCAGTTTTGATCTAAGTAAGATAAATATAATTAGGCGTGTGGCAGGTTCTTATTAATGACTCACCCTTGGGTAGTTCAAGTGGCAGGATGAGTTTTAGAATACGTGGTTAAGATGTACAGTCTCAGATTCGAATCTCTTTAACTCACAATATTTAAGTATGTGATCATAAAGGTATGCACGAATTGATCTAGACAACTTGTTTAACAAATAAAAAAAAAAAAACAGGTTCTTGTTACTTGTTAGTGTTGCTTCAATTATTATAATAAAAATATAGTATATGAAGATGAATTTATAAGAGATTGGGAATCCAACAATAATAATAATAATTTTTTTTTTTGTATTTATTAATTTGTATGTTATGGTTGTACTATATTCACATTTATCAAAATATGGGACCAGTGCTAGGGTATCTCCACTAACCAAGGTACATTAATTTTATTTTATTTTTATTATTGGTTGTTACGTTACAAACTTTATTTGAGTCACGACAATGAGTTTAATGATCAAATTGTGCTACAGTACTACTGGTTTTTTTTAAATATATTATCCAGTTTAATTAATCAACTACTTTTGACTTTTGATTATGAGTGTATGTAATGCTTTCTAAAACTACAATTGTAAGTAGCAGCATGGACTGGTTCAAGCAAATACCCACTTGATTAAATTATGCTTTTTTATGTGACTTTAATTCAAGTTTAAATAAATACTATGACGTTCAGCCACCAGAGCTTTTACTGGGTCGATAATTTTAGGGTTTCGAAGAATTAATTAAAATACATATAAACTGGTTCGGACACCTTCAATGATAAAAATAAAAATTAAAAATTAAAGTCTAAATCAACAAACTCTACACGAAATATGTATAAAATTTAGGTGGCAACACCCAGCTAACATTGTTGTAATGGGATGAGTCCAGTTTTGCTTCTAATACTGTCAAAGCCAAGCCCGGCTCATTGGCTTGTTGTGGCCTTCCTAGTTTCTACTGTAAAAAGTTAAAACCACGGCAAAATTCAATAACGGCTAGAAGGAGATCTTCATATGGTGGATGTGGATGTTGTGCAGATTCCAGAAGACGGCCAGCAGCATCGCTAAAGCATTTGCATATGAACAATGGAGGTACGAGGAAGCTACATTCCTCTATCAGAGAAACCAATTATACCAGTCCGATATTTGACAAAGTAAAAAAAACATTCTTACTCCTCATTACATTAGTTAATGAAAGTTATAATTTTTTTATGATCTAAACTTTTAGTTTAGCTACTGTGAAATTTTTTAACATTACAATAAAACTTGTAATTACTTCTATTCCATCTTAAAAGTTTGTGTCAACAATATGGGCGACTGGTCAGAATTGAATGAGGAACTGTTGATCGAAATCATCAAGCGCCTAACGTTGTGCAAGGTTTTCATAGTATGGTCTATACTTCGTGGCGATCTGTTGCAGTTACGGAGAAGTCGTTCCGTTTGTTTAGTTTTTTAGGATAACATTATATTCTTAATAGGATTTTTGGAAAATATGATAGGATTATAAGAATATTTTTGAAAATATTTAGATTATTTTTAACCCCTAAAATTTGTTAATTTAACTAAACACCCCTACTCATCCAACTATTACTGGCAGTCGGCCACCATTGTTGAACGGTGGCCGAAAGCCATCAGAATAGTGCACGACCGGTTGGATCTAGTCAGTCTTGCATCGATCAATCCTTTTTTCGACTAGATCTACGACCCTAGATCCAACTATTGATGGTCATATTTGGTCGTCGTCAACGGTTAGATCTTTGATCTTAGATTCAGCCGAAAATAGACAGATTGACGCACGACTGGCCATATTCAACCAGTTGTGCGTCGTTACGGAGCCGACGGCCAGTAGTGGCAACGACAGAGGCTATTGGTAGGTAATAGTGGCTTGGGTGGGTGGAGGTGTTTTTGTTAATTTTAAAACTTCTATTGAGAAAGATAATTATTAATGTTTTAAATAGAATAAAATAAGATTGGATTTTGAAAAATATTAAAACAAATGCATTTTTTATTTTTAGGATAGGATAATGGAATTGATCAATAGGATAGTGGGAAAATAGTGTGCCAAACATAGGGCTAAATTTTTGGATAGTCTTACTCCATGGCTGATGCTACCACCTGAAAAGCCCAGTACTCGTCGTCTACGAGGTTTTTTCAGTTTCTCAGATGATGTGACTTGCCAATTTACCTTACCAGAATCAGAAGTCAACAAGAGTAAAAGAGCTAAAAGATGCTCTCTGGTTGGAAATCCAATAGCACAAATAAATAACTAAATTAAGCCAACTGTGGAAACACTGGAGTTTTGATTCCAACACCATCACAGCCATCAGCCAATCTTTGCGTTTACTTATAGATAAGCTCGTGGGCTTCTGCTTTTAATTTGTACATCATTTCTGAGTGCTTAATCCATGAAATACCAATTCCAGTTGCTCCATTTAAAGGGCATTAAGAAGACAATTAGAGTGAGAACAATGGTTTCGCAAAAACTCAAGAAAGCCAAGTTAAATATAGAAGAAAAAGGAGCATGTTTGTGTTTCAAGTCTGTACTAGGATTCAGCACTCCTCAAACGCTTTCCCGACTCAGCAAACACTTAACAATGTTCATAAATCACAATGTTTCACTGCATTGTCAAAGTGGCTATGACAGCACAACTTTTAACACAAAACCAATTCTAGATAAATACCAAGAAAATTAAAAACAATACTTCATGCTATTGATGTAACCAATTGGGTGAGCAGGTCAACCTCATGGAAAACGGACGAGCCTGTTTACAGCTGTGTCTAGAGCATCTACATTCCTCCTCAGCATTTTTCTTCACTACAATTAAGGAACCAAAATGCCAGGATAAGCAAATATAGTATGTGACCAATATTCTAAATTCTATAGAAACATTGAGATACAGGTTTCTGGGTGGTGTTTATGAACAACCAATATAGACCACTTTGGCATATTCCACATGAGGGGAAAGCAGGATAAGTCCATGGGTCCTTCATTAGCACTTCAAAGTGGTAGGAAAAGAGCCAACCGATGTAAAACAACACCACAAAAACCAATTATGAAGGATACAGTTGTGCAGCTAGACTGTCAACGCCTTTCATTTCCTCATTTAATCTGAAAGTGAACATGGTCAGACCGTATTCAACACGCAAAAAGTGTATCCTTATATGTAAGCATGAATGTCGATGTTGTATTTCCCCTCCAAGCTAGCAATAGAAGTGTCAAAGGTCTCTGAGACCTTAGTTACTAACTACAAAGCATCCCAGTTTTCATCTGAATGTCAATTGTCAGCAGCTTTTCTTTCCTACAACAGTCAGCCTTTCCATTCTTACAGCAACTTCACAAAATAATTTCTTATTCAGATAGCAATATGTGGTTTGAAATTTTGCACATAATCTAAATCTGCAAAATTGCAAATTTTCATTGACATGAGAAAAAGTTAATTAAACAAACAGCATATTGTGAATTTAAGGACCAAGATCAATTGAGCAGGCTAAAGGGAATCTACATCTATTGCCAGAATCAATGGAAGTGTCTCTAAAACCATGTCCCAATTCAGATGAAAACGAAGCCGTAAAAGTACAAGATGTTGCTCGTATTTAGAGCAAAAGTTCAGTCCATGATTGATTGAGAGAAATAAACTCAAATACAACTTCAAAATCTATGACTCAACACCTAGTTTTGAACCTTTTGGATCAAAATTTCAGTATATCTCCAACATTTTTAAATTACAAGAACTAATTTTCATCCTCACTTGTTAATCTAAAGACTTAAAAAGTTGAGAATGAAAGATACCTGAGACATGAATTTATATATCGGTTACCCTTTGTTGCTGCATCGAGTACTGCAAAACAAGAGGATAAAATGAAGGGAGCAATTGATATCAGAATAATCATTAAAATGAGATCTATGATACTTCTAATGACTTTTACAAAATGCAAATAAACATAAACCGGGGAAGCCTTAGTGGCGCTGACAAATTGTGCTTTGTACAACATATTTACAGAAACGAAGTATTTTTCCATATTCACAAATGTTTTGGCAATTGAAGCGAGAGAGAATAAGTGATGGGCCTTTAGCCCTAAAATAGAAGAAAGAGTGGGGTTTGAGGAGTTATCCATGCTGAGATTAAAACAAAATCTCAGAAAAAATTCCTCTAGAAAGTGATCATAGGCCTTGTTTCAAACTTGTGCCCGAAATCTTTTTCTTGTTATCCCATCTCACTTACATCTATCATATTCTAGAAGAAGTTAAATCGAATAACAGTAATCCTAAAAAACCATGCTACTTTGAATCTTTCCCACAAATAAATACTATTGCATTAAATTTTTAACATAAATCATTCATTTACCTGATTCCTGGAGACGGCCTGCAGCATCACTAAAGCATTGCATATGATCTACAGAGGTATCGGTAATCTACAATAATCAGTTTCGTCTATCAGAAAAGCCAATTATACCAGTCCTATATTTGACAAAGAGAAAAAATCTATCTCATCATTAAACTTAGTTAATGAAAGAAAGAAGCTTTTTATGATAACTTTTACTTCAGCTCGTGTGAAATTCTTTAATAGTTCAAAACATTACATACAAGTCAAAGTTACATTCTTCTCATTTTCCTAAGTACTACTCGCCAAAAAAAAAAATAAATAAATAAATTAAATGGTTCCAGAGCTTTGATTTTGTTCCATTTCCTTTACAATTTTGACGGCAAACAAACAGAACCTAAAACAGCAAAGATCAAATAGCAATTTAAATAATACTGAATTACTATAATTATTAATTCTCAGAAGACCCTAAAAATAAACATAGCCACTTCTAAGAATTTAACTAAAAAGAATTAAACACCATATAAATTAAGAAATATCATTTCATGTTCTTACTAATTGTATTGTGAAACAAAAAGACAGTAAAACAACCTCTTTGTTAACCAAAAAAAAAAAAAAAAAAGCTGACTGACCTCGGAGAGTGCCAAGCGGAGAGAAGCGAAGAGAGAAGAGAAGCTCTCAGCAATGGCCACGGAGTCTCTCTCCACCACCTCGAGAGCTTTCACGATGTCGTTTCGGTTTAAGGACGGTTTCGATCCGCCGTCTCCAGGGGAATCTTGTGTAGAGTCGGGACACGTGGACGTTGGATCTACGTTTGGTCCCAATACTGGGGCTTCTGGATACTGAGGTTCTTGTTGCTGTCGCCACTGCTGCTGATCCATTTCGCGCGAACTGGTGGCGTAGTCACTAGTCAGTGGGTTTATTTTAATTTAATTATAATAATAATAAGAAGCAGCTTAAAAAATAAGTAAATGGCGATTATAAATAGAGAAATATGTGGTTATATCATATTCATTTATTATTAACTTTTCAATATCTTAATTTAAGTAAATAATTCAGTAGTAGAACGTGACGACATAAGTAAAAGACGGAGTACTTATAGAACTAGTGAATTTCTGGTTTTCAAGGTGGATTTGAGAAGTAATACCTGGACAGAGATGAAGAATTTGGTGAATAAATAATTCATTTATTATAATTCTTCGTTTTCTATTGAAGCAATGCTCTGCAAATCTAATTGCATTTACTTTACTGATGATTGTTGGGATATTTATATTGGTCGCACCTCCCATGGAAGAGGAGAAGGAAAGGATATGGGAATTTATAACCTCCAAGATGGAAGCATTGAGCCGCGTTTTAGGGGCGACTCATATAGCTTTATTTAGAAAAAGTGTATCTTATTGCAAATCAAATTCCTTATATTAGTATGGATTTTATCAAGTATGATTCAAATATACAATACACTTGACTTATTTACGTTGTCTTGTTTAATCAATGTGTTACAACTTTCATCTAAAATTGTCAATAATATGGGCGACTTATTGGTGTAATGGCTTTATACGGTGACGTTTCATTATTAAATAGAGTGACGTCATTTTTAAGCTAATGGTGAGATTAATCCTGAGCGTTGGTTGGTTGAAGATCCAACGGTGAAAAGGAGTCTTCTGGTCAATGATATAAAAGCAGGCAAATAAGGCAGAATCGAAACAGAATAGCAATTGTATCTCTATCTTCTCTATCGAGCAAAAATTGAGTCTGCCAGGGTTTGGGTTTTTGTGGTCTTGAATCTTGTAACTGTTAATCAAGTGGCTAATTTCAGGTCATTTGAGTGTATTAATGTACACAGGTCATTAGGGATATAAGGGATAATGTCTCTAGGGAAGATACGGGTTTTTGAGAAGATTTGAGAGGGTTTTGATATTCAGTTTGTAATTTAGACTGTGATCTTGATAAATTTAGTGCAGCGAGCTTGCTGGTTTCTCGAGTTCAACGTGGACGTAGCTTGCTCAAACTGAGCGAGTGAACCACGGTAATTCTTGGTGTCTTGTGTGTGTGTGATCTGTGTTGTTTGAAATTGCTGTGTGTTTTTGGTTGGAGTTGAGGCGTAGGTTATAACACGACTAATATGATATATTATGACTTTTATTTTCATTTGTTTTGTTTTTATCATATGCTTTTCTATTTTTGAATTTCAATTTCTAAACCAACTTATATAGCTTTTCTAACTTTTGCATTTAGAAGGGCATATAAATAAATATATATCGAGAAGCAATGTAAAATCAATAAAATATATAATTTGACAACCTGATAAATTAAAAAATCAGACAATAAATCCCTATGGATTGAAGCCAGAAATTCCACACAAAAAAACCATATTTTGAGTGAGCCCCAAGAAAATCAACTTTTAATTGGGAACAAAAATAAGTTCATCTCAATTTTTTGTTTTTTTAATCCAAATTTGGAACATTCTTCCTATAAACATTACATGTCAAATGGGGTGATTTCCTGTACCAAAGTTGTTAGGCCCATTTGAGACAAGGTCAGGCCCATTTAAGCTTGTTCTACTTGTTGATAAGTGATTTTGACACTAATGACCTCGTACGTATAAAGTGCTAAGAAAGATCCTAGAAATTACATATGAATAATTTTAAGAGTTGATTATGGAATACTGTTCTCATAATAGCATGTAAAGACTTAAAGTAAATGAGACAATGAGAGTTTACAGTGATTCGATGCTTAAAATGAATCATACATCCACTGTTTTCTTTTATATGAGTGAGTTATTGGTTATTAGCCAAGTTTACAAAAGGCCGCAAACTGCGATATGGATTATAGGTTCTTGATGTTCTTAGAGAATATCAAGCTAGTCACTTTCTCGTAGGGTGTTTTTGCTAGGGGTGTTCAAAAGAATCAGTTGGAACCGGAACCGGCGGATACCCTGGGTTTGGTTCCGGTTCCTACCCAGAACCAATCGTCAATGGGTAGGTTCCGATTCTAAATTTTTGAAATCGTTACTGTACGGTTCCGGTTCCGATTCCTATAGTTAGGAACCGGAATCGAAACCAAGAATCGAGAGTAATATAAAATAAAATTAAAGATTAGGAGGGTTAATAAAAACTTTTGTAGAAAAAGTAATGTAAATACATTTATATTTATATTTCATAACATTTAAAGTAAGTTGGTTTGACTTTTGAGAATGTACCTTTACAAAGTAATGGAGTTTGTAATTTTGAATTGATAATTTGTAATTTTATTTTTGTTAACAAGTGCCAGGTGGGGGGGTATTTGTAAGTTTTTAAGGATTTTTTTGCCATTTTAAAAACTTTTGTGGGGTCATTGTGATTTTACAAGGTACCCAGAACTGGAACCGGAACCGTTGTTACAGGTTCTGGTTCTGGGTACCTAGGAACCGGAACCGTCGATTCCGGTTCTGGTTCCAAATTTTAAGAAACCGTCAATTCCAATTTCGATTCCTTCAAAAAGTGCAGGGTACCCGAAACCGAACACTCCTAGTCTTTGCTATTTTCTTTGTTGAATTCAGAGTGTTTGGTCCATATTTTGTGAGGGGGAGTTGCCTATTTATACCCGTTAAGCTCAAAGTAATGATTACAAATATGCAAGTGGGTTGGTGCAGTGCAAATTCCTCCTAGCGTTCCATTGACTGATAACTTAAGAAATATCCATAAATTAAATGGGGTTTGGATAGGAGTACGAACCAAATTCATTTACAGACAAAACTTCAATCGACTGGGTTGTTGACAAATATATTATTTATGCTTTGGGTTACGTGGCAGACTATAGACGATATAAAGCCTTCCTAAACTTTGATTAATACTCGCTGATATCAACTTATGTTAGTGTTGATCTTTTAGGCATAACACTACCCATGGAGAAAATTAATTTACTATTCTACCAAACATTAAACATTAAATAAATAATAAATTGATAAGTAATGTCGTATACTACATAAGATGAGATATAATTTGGAAAACGCAACAATTAAAAAAAAAAAAAAGAAATTAAAACATATTGAAGAATTTTCATTTTTGAAATTTACTTTTAATTCAAAATCAAATGCTTCTGAGAATTATTTCAATTTTTTTAACATAAGTTCTCTAATTGAATTTCCCAGAATTGGCAAATTAAAGCAGGCGGCGACGTGTGTTTATACTAGTGGCTGATTAAATTAGGAATGTAAAAAAAAAAAAAAAAAAAATCATAAAAATGCGAGCCGGTAGTTCTGTCCGTTAGTTGTTAGTAAACTAAATTCAGAAACAAAAAAAAAAAAAAAAAGGGAAACGGATAACGAAGTTAAAAAGAAGAAAACAAAAACACAAGGCGGGAACTCCACTCCAAAATTAGTGGAATGGGCCAAAACTACAAATACAATTAAACCGAAAACACTTTCTGTTATTTTCAAATCCAACCCCAACCAAATCCAACCCCCTCGCGCACGTCTATTTCACTCTCCCCATTCCCGACGTTTTTACACTTTTCATTTATTTTCTTCTGAAATTTCGGCCGTTTATTTGTATTAACTAAACCATTTCGTTTTCCTTACGAATCGAATTTTGAATTGAAACGTATTTGTTAATCTTTCTCTTGATTTCTTCGATTTCTAATCTGGACGGTTTCTGGCTTTGCGAGATCTGGAACGGAGCGCATCTGCTGTTATGATCTCTCAGGTTCGTACAACTAACCACATTTTGTTCCTACGTGTTCTTTTGTGTGCGAAATTAGGGTTTGGTGCGGATCTGGTTGTTAAATTTTTGTTTTTTGTCTTCCATTTTTGGAGTGGTGTGTTAGAATTTGTAATGTAGCTTGTATTTGTGTAGATTAAGAGATGAGGTTCGAGTTTCTTTTAGGGTTTTGTTTTGTATTTTCTGAATTTTGCTTTATTTGGTAGTTGAGAAGATGTAAATTATATTTTATGTTTTTTTTTTTTACTCCGAATTTGAAACTTAAACTAAGCTAGTTTTTTGAAAGTTTTCAAATTTTTACGCCTTTTTTTATTTGTTCTCTTTTCGTTTGTGGATGAAGGGTAAGAAAAGGAAATAATATGTATACTCTAAGAGAATTCATTTATTTGCCTTAAATTCCAGTTCGGACTTGTATTTGCTGGAAAGCGGGGTTGGAAATGTTGTACTTGAGACATGTGCGTTCTTGGTGATAAGCTTGTAGTTTCTGGATTTGTTCTTTATTCTGTAAATTCACTGTTGTTAATGAACTTGTAGTTCTTGCAACACTGTGTCCATGGTTAATTCTGAGACAAAGATTTGGAAACTCTCCTCATGAACATTGAGTTAGAATGGCACTCAGGCAAAATAGGAATTTTGACAATTCAAATGGAACTCATGGTGTAAATGATGAACAAAGTTCTAAGAGCATGGCTGAGGGTAAGGAAGTTATACTTTCTTTCTTTCATACATATAAACTTGTGTACATATGTGCACGCTGTAATTATGTCAGTTTTTCTTCACTTCACTGTATGTTTTATTTGCTTAACTTTATTTGACTCTAGGTAACGAGCTATCAATTGTAGTGGAGTGGTTGAATGATATGATTCCTCGTTTAAGTTTGCCACTGGAGGCTTCGGAGGAGGAATTGAGAGCATGCTTGACTGATGGAACGGTTTTGTGTCTTGTCTTGAACAAGCTATGCCCTGGTTTAGTTGATATGGTTGGTTTGATTTTGTCGTATAATGAAAAATTATGATTTGAATTTTCTTTTAGGTTTTATCACAGTAATATGAAGCTGAAGTTTCATTTTCCATGTTGTGTTTTGGCCATTTGAAAATACATTGTCTTTTTATATTAGGGGGCCAGTTGTGAGCCAGGTACTGCAAAAGTCTACCAGTTTCTGGCAGCTATGGATGAGTTGGGATTACCCAGGTTTGAACCATCAGAGCTAGAGCAGGTACCAGAAGGTCTTTTATGCCCAACAATATATTGTAATTATTATTTCAATGTTGTCAGTTTAGTTGTGTAAATTGGACTGTTGAATTTGAATACCACGATGAACCAATTTGACCTGTGGTGTGTTTGGTCAATTGTAAACTGAGATGTGAATAGTTCTGATTAATTCCTTGGGCATATTTATTCGGTATATCAATGATTTTTTTATTGCTTTGATTCATTACACATCATATTGAAGATATCCCTATATGCATCACAGCTCTGTAGGACACTTATATATAGTGATTTGGTGTGTCAGACTCTTGAAGACAGGACAGTCATGCTGATAAGAATGCAGATAGTTAAAGAGGAGAATACACCTTCATTTGCAAAAATATTATGAAAGTTGCACATGCTAGCAACCTTGAGGATTATTTTAGCTTTCTATGGTTCTTCTAGAAAAAATATGTGCATACAGTCATAATCTACTACATCTTTACTATGTGTTAGTGGATAAAGATACCCTGAGTTTGTGTCGGCATATCGTAGTTTTTGGTAAAAAACTACAACCCAGTTAGTCTCAATCCGATTGTTAATATTGGAAAGGTGATTTTTTTTTTTTTTTTTTTTTGGGGCGGGGCGGGGGGCGGGCTTGTTTTTCGGATGAATTACCATTGTTAATGTGCATTTCTAGTTGGTATCCCCACTCCCCCAAAGAAAAAATAAATAAATTAACTTTAGGTCTTACACTATTGTTTTTCTTTGGTTGTACCTCTAAATTTTGTTTATGCTTATTTCATTTCATCACTGGGGACGCTGTGCAGGGATATATGAGGCCAGTTTTGCATTGCCTTAGAACACTTAGAGCAAGTTTTAATTCCTATGACGAGGAAGACAGCATCCAAAATCATTCAAGAAAGAGATGGAGTGTGGCAAGGTTAGATCGTGTAGAGGGAACTGGTCACTTTAGTGGGAGTGTAAGAGCATATGCTAAAAGCTCTGCCATAGAAGAAGAGAGCCCATTGAATTCTTTAGATGGAAAATTCTGGAATGGTATGTGTGGTCCTATTACAGAAGGTGTATCTAGTGCTTTTTAAATGATAGGAAAGTCAACCTAAATGAACGATATATGTAATTTTCTACTTGAGCCTATAGTGAAAGCATTTGCTTTGTAATACATCTCATATGATTGAGAATGGAGGGCCTGATATTATTTAGTTTGCCAAATTTACTATATTATGTTTTTGGCAAGGGTCATGGTATTGCTTGTTTTTTTTCTAGAGTCATCTTTTTTTATGCATCATGTAGCTCATGAAGGATCTTTTGCAGATATTTCTGATATGAAGATCTCGGAACTCATAAATTCAAGGAGTTTAGATGTAAGATCCCATAGTTCTTTATGTTTGTGTGTTTGTGCTTGTTTTTGAATATTTATTATGGGATCGTAGTTTCTTATAAAAGTTTATTTTTCCATGTTAGCATAAAGTCTAATAGTGTTTGTTTTTTGTGATTCCTCGATACAGAATGCCTCGACTAAATCACTGTTCAATGTTGTGAATCAAATTCTGGATGAACGCATTGAAAGAAAGAATGGGGATGTACCTCAAGTATGTCAGTGATTACTAAAGCATTCATGGATTGTACATAATTACGTTTCTTTTTATATCTTGAGCAAATGCTGTTTTGCTTCTTTAATTGGTACTATTCTTTTCTACCTTTTCCTATTTTCAGCGTGTGGCATGTCTGCTGAGAGAAGTTGTCCAACTCATTGAAAGGCGAACGGCAACTCAAGCACAGAATTTAAAAAATGTAAAATGCTTCAGGAATTTATTTCTAAATTTTTTTTTTTTCTAACAAACTGCTCATGAATAATAAATGTTCATATTGGTGCTTGGCTTCAGCAAAACAATCTTTATAGGGCTTGTGAGGAGAAGTACCAAACAAGAATCAGAGTGCTTGAGACCCTGGCAATGGGGTCTGCTGAAGAGAATCAGGTCTATACCAATAGTTTGCCTTTGCTTTTCTCCTTTACTTCGTTTATACACTCAATTGACTCAGTACTGTTTCTGTAACTTTGTATAGGTTGTTGTAAATCAATTTGAGAGACTAAAGGTGCGTTCCCATTTTATTCTCCTATTTAGTTCATAATGGAGTTCTCCATTCTTAAATTATGATGCCATGCCTAATTTTTTGTTAAAAAGTTAAAGTGGTTGCTACTGCAAAAATTTTAAAGATGCCTTTTAATCTATATTAATTGTTGATTTAAGCTTTTTCTTTATTGAACATATTAAGTTGCAAAGTTTAGGGTGAACAACATCAGAACCAGTATTAATTCTTGCATGTCTTGATGTTATGTATATTTAATATGTTCCAACAATATTTTCCATACCGCACGATGAAAAACATTACTCCATGAATTTTTCTTAGAAGGATCCTTTGAATTAATTGATTTGTATCCTTGTATTGCTTAACATGCCATATATATGTTTTATCTTATTTTATTTTGTGTGCATATTGCAAATTATCATGCTGTTGTATTTTATGTCTGATATAGCTGTAAGCTGGAATTGTTGCCAAACAACCATAAGTTTTTACGATAGAACTTTTGTTTTTTGATGATGCATGATTTTGAATTATTTGTGGATGTGATGAAGTGTTTGCCATTATCTCCCATTTGGTTATTTGTAAGAAGCCACATAATTGATGAAATTAGTAGAAAATTGATAAAGAATAAAACTAATAGAGACATTTTATGTTATACCTGTGTTTGTAAGTGATATGCATGGATGTTTTATTGTGATTACGCCATTCATAGCTTGGGTTAAATTATTAAATTGTTCTTCGAATTATGCAGAGTGAGAAAACCAAAATGGAGGAGAAGGAAAAGCTTGAAGAGCAGAATGTGCTTAGATTGAAAAAAGAAAAGGATCATAGTAGTATTGAGATTTCTGCATTGAAACAAGAATTAGAAATGGCCAAAAGGACACATATGATGCATTGCTTGAAATTGGAAGCACAGGTTGAGGAAACTAAAGTTGAGTCAGAAAAGAAGTTGAAAGAATTTGAGTGCCTTTTAATAGAGTCAAAGAAGAAGGTGAAAGAACTAGAATCGTTTTCTGAATCTAAATATCAAAGATGGAGAAAGAAGGAGTCTACTTATCAGAATTTTATAGATTATCAGTTCGCGGCTATACAGGTTGTCATTACTGTTAACTTTTGTTTTTATAGTGTGTTAATGCTTATTCTCACATCTGCAATTTTCACATTGATTAGGATGTAAGGGTAGCTTTTGAGTCCATAAAACATGAAGTCCTGAAGACGAAAAGGAGTTACACAGAGGAATTTAAATACTTGGGTTAGATTGATAATCATTTTTGTTTTGATTTTGTTTATTACCAAATTGGTATTTTACTATGGGTTGGGCATTTTCTCATGGTGAGTACTTTCTTTTTCCAATAGGGCTAAACCTAAAAGGGCTTGTAGATGCTGCTGAGAATTACAATTCAGTTCTGTCAGAAAATCGGAAATTGTACAATGAAGTTCAGGACTTGAAAGGTAGAGTGCCTTATAATAACTCTGCCTGATATACCTGTAGATTGACAAATGTTTGTTCCTCTTTCTTGAACAGGTAATATTAGAGTATATTGCCGGATAAGACCATTCCTTCCAGGTCAAAATAAAAAGCAAACAACTTTAGAATATGTCGGTGAGAATGGTGAGTTGGTGGTTTCAAATCCCATAAAACAAGGCAAAGATGCTCATCGCCTCTTTAAGTTTAACAAGGTCTTTGGTCCAGAAGCCACTCAAGGTAATTATTTTCTTGATTGTAACCGATTGATGGATGACTTTATTTATTTCTTTTGTCAGGAAATGTTCTGACTTTTTATCTTTTAAATGCGTTATGTTGGCAGAGGAGGTATTCTTAGATACACAACCATTAATACGATCTGTTCTTGATGGATACAATGTTTGTATTTTTGCTTATGGACAAACTGGATCTGGGAAGACCTATACAATGGTGAGTAACTTGTCTGGATTTTCAATGTACGAAAGTGTTGATTGTTTATACTTGTCCCTTATAAATTTTGTTTTTGTTTTTCTCCCTAGAGTGGGCCTTGTATATCATCGAGAGAAGATTGGGGTGTCAATTATCGAGCATTGAATGATCTTTTCCAAATTTCTCAAAGTAGGAAGAATTGCATTATATACGATGTTGGTGTTCAGATGGTTGAGATTTATAATGAACAAGTTCGTGATCTACTGTCAAGTGATGGTCCACAAAAGAGATATCCTTTATTTTCATGTTTTGGTTTATTTTCATTCTCAGATATATCACTTCCTCTAGGTTTCACTCCATTCCTTCTTGGTTGGTTATTATGATTATTTTTAGCATATTCATTTACCTTTTCATATATTAGTGGAATAAGATTGATGGCACGTCATTTTCAAATGAATTGTGACATAGTTGTTGAAAAAAGGTTTCAGTACACTTTCAATTTGCATGTTAAATATTCTCTTACCCAAATATTGTGCATTGATTTTAATGCTTTAGAACTTTTGTTGCAATTTGAATCTAAAATGAGTTGCTTAATCTTTTGTTTGTGCAAGTACACACACACATAAGAATTTATCTTCATGTATTATTTATGAATTTTATTCCTGTATCTTTATTAATCTTTTTTGGTCAGTTATGATGGCGGTATCACTTGTTATTACTTTGATCACAGTATAGAGGATTTTTATGTTTCCTTTGACTTGCACACACTCGGGATTTGGAGTACCACCCAACCAAATGGGTTAGCTGTCCCTGAGGCGAGTATGCATTCTGTGAAATCAACCGCAGATGTGTTGGAGTTAATGAATATTGGGTTAATGAATAGAGCTGTAGGCGCTACTGCACTTAATGAAAGAAGTAGTAGATCCCACAGGTATAATTTCTCTATATATTTTGCTTATCTAATGTTTTCTTTTCCTCTATAGTTGAGGTTGCTCATTTGATTCTCTTTTACAGTGTTCTCACAGTTCATGTTCATGGCACTGATGTAAAATCTGGTGCCACTTTGCGTGGCAATCTACATTTGATAGACCTTGCTGGCAGTGAAAGGGTGGATCGCTCTGAAGCTACTGGTGATAGACTCAAGGAGGCACAGCATATAAACAAATCACTATCAGCTCTTGGAGATGTAATCTTTGCTCTGGCACAGAGGAGTCCTCACGTCCCATACAGAAATAGCAAATTAACTCAAGTGCTTCAGAGTTCTTTGGGTAATAATTCTACCTTGTTTTTATTTTGATAATAGGATCTTATCTGCCAGATGAAAGTATAAATTCTACAATTTATACCTGATTTCATGAATGACTTGCTCTCTATATATATTGATTTTTACATTGCAGGTGGTCAAGCGAAGACCCTTATGTTTGTTCAGCTTAATCCTGATGCAGACTCCTATTCTGAAACCATAAGTACCTTGAAGTTTGCTGAGAGAGTTTCTGGTGTTGAATTGGGCGCTGCAAGGAGCAACAAAGAGGGGAGGGATGTTAGAGAACTTATGGAGCAGGTCGTTATTGGAGTACTTGTATCTGAAAATTTAGCATGGTCACTACTTGTGTAGTATCTTACTATCTCATCATTATCTGCCATAACTTGCCTTCCTAAGGAAAATGATAACCCACAATTTTTGGCTTAAAGTCCAGCCATTTTATATCCCAATATATAAGTAAATTTGTTAGCCAGTGTTGACACACATGCATATTAAGTTTTTTCAAATTTATCTGGTTTGGATAATTAAGTGCAATGGACTTTTGGGGGAAACAAATTGGGCCTAAACTGATGAACCTTGTATGTGTATGTTGAATCTTTTCAAAGCCATGTTATACACAATCCTCTTGACTTTCTTTTAATCTTGCAGGTTTCATCTCTTAAGGACACAATTGCAAAGAAAGATGAAGAGATTGAGTGCATGCGGGTTAAGGCTAATAATGCCAACAGTGCCAAGCGAGGTATGAGTTCACTAAGGTATGCGTCTTCCTCTCCATCTCCAAGGAGAAAATCTGTAGGGAGTCTTCACATAAGTCGAAGATCGTCAGTAGGGAAAGGCCTGGGACTAACTGATAAAGCAGCTTCTGATATGGACAATTGCTCAGAGTTCAGTGATAAGCATTCTGATGCTGGTTCTCATCATTCAGTGGAGGACTTTGAAAACCAGAAGGTATTTCCCTCACAACCAAAGCCTGCTGTTGGGGACTCAAGTCAGAATGTAAATGAAGACTTTGAGCTCTTGGGCTTTGGGGAGGCAGATTCCGAGGAAAGATTAAGTGACATATCTGATGGTGGCCTTTCAATGGGAACAGAAACTGATGGTTCAAGCAGTGTTGTAGAGTTCACTCTTTTCCCTGAAACTGTAAAACCAGCTGAGAACACAGAGAAGTGAGTATCACTGACAAAGCCTTTGGGCATTCATATATTTTCTAGATTTCTGTCAATGTTTGCTTGCTTGCACTTAATCTGGAACTGGAAGATAGATCTATTATTATATTATTATCATTTCACGACTTGCTGGTTGCAACATAACCTCAGATAAATAATCTGACACTAGTTTTCTCCCCTCTTTTTGTTTGGTTGAATGCAGATCCAGTTACCCATCCAAACTTCCAAAGCCCTCCCCAAAGGTGGTGCAAACTAGATCTTCTCGTCTGTCATTGGTGAAGCCCACAAAGGCCGCCTCCTCTAGGATCTTATCGAGTATGTTAGCTTGGAACACTTTTTGCTACCAACAGTTATTTTATTTCTAGAGCGAAATTAAATTATTTTCAGTTGATTTAATTCCATCTTATTCAACTCCTTTTTCATCTCACCATTCTTTTAAATGTTTGACAGGTGCTAGGAAACCAACTCCTGGCAGTTCTTCTACCAGGATTACGAGACCTTGGCAGTAATTCTATTGCTTACTTGATGGTAACAGGACTCCTTGTCCCAGTTTGTATCTCTCTTATGAATGTATCTCATAGTTATCCTTGTACTGGAAGAGGTCATCGGAAGCCTCTCATTTTGTAATATCAATCAAAGGAAAAAAAAAAAAAAATTCGTAATTTAATATTAAATGTAGGTTTTTACAATCTTCTCATCTTTATAATATGTTTAAATTTGCTTTAATCTCTTTATGCTTGTCCGGCAAAAGTAGGAAGAAGTTTCACAGGCTATTAAATTACCAGAAATAAAACAAGTACCGTAATTTGGAACTATTATCTAATTATCTAATACCATCCAGTTTTTTCTGAAGGAAATAAATTTCTTGTTGAATCAGGAAACTAGTTTCTACTTTGTTTGAAAATTATAGTACGAATTCGATTGATTTTAGGATCCTTTTATTATTTGTAATAAAGTACAGATTAAAAGAATTTCAAATATCTTATACTTCAAAATATTCTAATTTTTTTTAATAAATAAATTGTGGAAACACAAAATTTCCAGATTACGTAGAAAATGACTAAACGTGTTGGAAAAAAAAAAAACATTTCATAACTTTTTTCCTATTTCTTCAAAGTCATAAGTCGATCAAAATTCTCATTGGACATGGATTCATAAAGAAGCAACAATTCGCGTTTGGTTTTAGTTATCAATTAGTTGGAAAGATGAAGGCAACAACCATTGTCCCACTTTTATTAGAAAAGAGGTACTACTTTTCGGGAAATCAAAATTTCTTGTTCGCCGAGGAAAACATATCCTATTCCTTTCTTCATTCGGAGTCATACTCTATATATATATATATATTCCATAAAGTGATCCACACACATCATCCTTTGTTTGTGTCACAATGTCTAATTGGTCTGAACTTTCTCAAGATATTTTACTCATCGTACTTGAAAAATTAGACAATGTATGTGATTATATTCGATTTTGCGGTGTTTGTTCGGCCTGGAGATCAGTTGGCAAAACAGATAGCCACCGTGTTCGACACCAATTGCCCTGTCTTCTCTTTTCGAGTGGCAGAATTTTGCCCATTAATCAACTTCCGAATCAGCATCCTCTCAAATTACCTGCGGTTTCACTGCCTCAAGACAGCGTATGTCGAGGTTCTTACAGAGGATGGCTCGCCATTCTGAATCGAGACATGACCATGCATTTGCAAAATCCTATCTCTGGCCAACGGTTTGCACTCCCTCCTCTCACAACTCTTTTATATCATCATCGACGCCATTATCATCATGATACTGTTACGTGGCCAGTTAGGAAGGCTATTTTATCCTCAGAACCTGATTCTTCGTCGAGCTGCTTTGTCTCGGTTATTTGTTGTCAAGGTGACTTGTTCTATTGCAAGCTTGGAGATTCAACCTGGACTCATTTAACACTACCAAATTTTGTAGAAGACGGTGGCTTTACCGATGTCATATATCACATGGGACAGCTCCTTGCTTTACAAAGTACAGGAACAATCTTTACCTTTGATTTTACTTCCTCTTGTACAAGACTGATCGAGTTAGATAGGGTTGGATACTCATGGAATCATTCTTACATGGTTCACTGTGGAGATGAACTGTTAATAGTTTGCCGTTGTACGACTTGTTATGGTACTACTGAATTCGAAGTTCACAAACAAGATTATACAACAAAACAATGGAGGAATGTGAAAGACATAGGTGGATATGCTTTGTTCTTGGGATATAATCGATCATTGGCCATGTTAGCAACTGGTCTGAAGGGCCTAAAACCAAATCATATATATTTTAGCTACAAATTAGAATGGCAATCGCAGCGGTCGCCATCAGAGAATGACGTGGGGATGTATGACTTGGGACAGTCCAAACTTAAGCCACTTTGCCTAAACGGTAGTACTGCAGAAAAGACATCCATCTGGTGGGTTCCCAAATTACAGTGGATATGCTAAGTTTTCTTTTATTTTGAGCTATATTCAATCTCTATATGATAGTATTAGTAGTATTGTAATTTTTTTCAAGAAGTTTATTTGTGGTTAACATTAATATAAAAGGTTTTCTTCTTCTTGGCTTCTTGATATCATCTGTTAATTCCTGTTGAGGATATATATAAAAACCAATTCCTTTTTCCAGGCATAACGACAGTGCTAGCTGTCTAAAGCTGCCAGTCCATGTCATTGCTGACTTGGTTTCCACGTCAGCTGTAGATTGCCATGCTGTCACTCCTTCCAAATGGTGATTGGCTTTAATTTTCTGGACGATATGGGAACAGCATAAGAGTATAACTCATTAATAAACTCACATAAAGGATAAGAAAACACCTCTTGAGTTGGAACATGAAACAAGTGACAGTTTAACTCTAAACACCCTAGGACTGTCCAATAATATCAACTATTTAATTTAGGGTTTAATAACATTAATTCCCTTTGACATATAATAAAATAATAAAAATTGCTATAAGGTTTCGGAAATAATAGAAATCCTCTTATCATTAAGTTTTAGATGTTAAAATAAAAAGTAAAAGGGCAAATTGATCGACTCATTAACGGAAAGGGGATTGTTGTTATTTTATCATACCTCAAGGGGTCTAAATTAAACTCTTTTAAGTATAACTAAAGTTTAGTATTCACATTATAAAATATTTCTATTTTTTTGGACAAACATGATTTCATGGAGCTAGCTTGAGATGGAAACATCTTCAATAAAGTGAAATTAATGAGGGAATTATTCTGGAAGATCACACAAAATTGATACGAAAATTTTACACTTGTTTAACAATGTTTACTCTTAAAAACAAGTTGATCAGGGGTTATTTTAATACTTTTGCAAAATCTTAGGGGTATTTAGAATTGCCTTATCTCCCAGGGGTGGAGATTAAATCAATTTATAAATTATATAATATTTATTAATAGTTAAACCAGAACTGTCTGGGTGGTGTAGTTGGTCATCACGCTAGTCTCACACACTAGAGGTCCCCGGTTCGAACCCGGGCTCAGACATGAGTTTTTACATTTGATTTTTAATTTCCTTTATTCAACATTTTATTTTCTTTTCTAAAATGGAATCTAATCATTTTTTTAAATGTTTTTTTGTAAACCAAAATGTATATACATATATAGCAATGCTACAGTCATCAAAATAGTGTATCGAATTTTTGTATCGAATGATATGACAAAATCCTGACCATTTATTAATTTTAATTTAATATTAATCGACAATCATGATTTTGTTACATTATTCAATTCATAAATTTGGTGTATAACTTTATGTATCTTTTTCTATACATATATGGATATGATGCCAAAAATGTCCTTTCACTTTTCGGAAGCTTCCGTAATTGTCGTTTTTGCTTTTAGGAAGCTTCGGTAAATGACCCTGAAATGATCTTCTACTATCCCAAAAAAACCAAAAATTTCCAAACGTTCAACCCTGAACCATCCACTCCACATCTTGATCATCATGATAAAGAAAATCCGTCACTCACCATTCTGAACATGATACAAATACAACCACATGATCATTTATTCTCACATGAGGTTAAATCCATACAGTACACCCTATCTCACAGGAACTTTCTAAGCAATTTCCAGATGGCTCATTCTTTACAGCACAAGTGAAACATTCTCTTTCTAAAGGTTCCACACTCAAAAAACTCTTAAACCCTCCGCCAAAAAAGTATAAAACCCTCTTCAAATCTTCTCGAAAAAGTAAAACCCAGAATTCAAAATACACTCTTTCTCATTCGCTCACTGCTAAACTCGTCTGAGGCTTCGGTTCTTGGAAGCTTTGTTAATGGAAAATGCGGCCAAGGGTTGAAGCTACTAGCTTGCATTCAGTCTGTTCACAGAATCAAAATGGAGATGAATTAGCTGGTAAGTTTGTACATTAAATGGTTATGTCTTCTTCTTTTATGTTTTTTTCCTTTTTATTGACAATGAGAAATGGTGGAAGTTAACTCAAAGGTTCTGATTTTCATATCCAAATCAAGTAAGATTCTAATTGTGTTGTACTAGTTTATCTTAATTTTTCTGGCTTTAGATTTTATCTTAATTCTTCTATCAATGCCTTCACTGATTACTAGTTCTTTTAGTTTTTTTTTTTCTCTTCTTCGTTTTAAATGTGTTGTTTCGGTGTTTAGTTTAATTGACTTGGAATCTTAGTTTGGGTTGTTCAGTTTAGCTGCTATAATTAGTTACTCTAGCTAGGCTATAATCCTATCTGTCAGGTTACCGTATGACATGAGTTACGAATTTTGAAATAGTTGTGAGTTTTCATTCAGTAATGCAAATCTTCAATTCCGTTTGCAGTTAATTTTCAATCAAGATTTTGTTGAGGGTATGGCTGGGTATAAAAAACAACCTAGAAGTGATCGAAATTCAATCAAGTACAGGTTAAACCCAGTTGAGGGGGCATCATTTGAGCTTTCTGACTTTGTCCGGGAACAGTATGCCCCCGGTCCCTCTGATGATGATAAGCAACTCAATAGAATATCGGAATCAAAGTCCCAAAAGATACTGACCACCACAGAGTTAATCTCAACTATTGGTCACATATGGGATCATGCTAACCGTCTTGCTGTTTACCAACCTAAGGCTAATTTGACTGATGATCAAACTGGCTGTAAGAAGGAGATCTCAAGGAATCTGGACAAGGAGGAAAATGGCTGGGCACCTCTTTCACCTGACAGTAAATACTTTTGTGTTCATGTAAAGAGTGCTGGTCGATTTTTCCCTGTGGTGCGGCCAGACCTAGAATTTCTCAAAGTAACCCAAAAGATGTCGGTGTTTGAATCTTGGAGCTTTCTGCGGGGTGGTATGAACTTGGCTAATGGAATTTGTGGTGGTAGGGGGCTTACAAGTTTAGGGATACCATATGAATTGGGAAGTATATATCGATGGAGGAATGAAACAGTTCCTGCTGGACATCCACATGCTGATGACAGCACTCAGATTGAGAACAGGACAGCTGGTGAACACTGCATTCCTGGAAACACTACTGGCTGTGCACGGGGTGTCATTTCAGGGGATACAAATAGTCCTGCATGTATGCAGGCCACTGAATATGCAAATAGTTGTTCAGATTTGAACAAATCCAAGGACCCATCTTCTTGTGTTAATTCAAATTTGGTGATGGATAGAGGGACAACCAGATCACTGCTTTCAGATTATTTCCTCAAGGATGTTGATGATATAAAGGTGGATGGTAGAACTTTAAGGGCACACTGTTCGAGTCTTTATGCTGATTATTGTATTAACTCTTTAGCTTTATGTAATGATCCATGTGGAAAATGCCATTTGACAGAGGATGATGTATTGCTTGAAAAAAAGAGCAACCAACCTGAAAGGGTTGTTAGGGAGAATGAAAATAGAATAGAGTTTCCCTCTCATAAACTAGAGAAACCTCATTTTGCCCTTGCTAAGCAAGAGCATGCTTTTGCAGGGGCAATGGCTGGTATATTTGTTAGCCTTTGTCTACATCCCGTTGATACAATTAAGACAGTCATCCAAACTTGCCGAGCAGAGCAGAAGTCTATCTGTTACATTGGAAGATCAATTGTTTCTGAAAGAGGTATGCTATGGGATCACTGAGTTGACTTCTTTTTCCTTTTTTTTTTTTTTTTTTTTTTTTGGTTTTTAAATGTTAGAAGGCTTTCAAATCTAACCCGCTACCTGTTGTGCCAAAGTGGACTTCTATTAACTAATGGTGATACCATTTTCAGGTCTAACTGGACTTTATCGGGGAATTGCCAGCAATATTGCGTCCTCAGCTCCAATATCTGCCGTCTATACTTTCACTTATGAATCAGTGAAAGGAGCTCTACTTCCTCATTTCCCTAAGGTAGTTTTAAACTTCTAATCTTTTGCTTTCGATTTTTTTCTTTTTCTTTTTCATTTTCATGGTTATGGAGTGGCAAGAGAGGAATTGGGGAGTTATGCCAGATATGCAAAGCCTTAAACTTTTACATTGTGCTCATTAGCTTTATAAAAATCTACTCTCACCCATTTCTTTCTTGCAGGAGTTTCACTCTTTAGCCCATTGCATCGCAGGTGGTTGTGCCAGTGTTGCCACCTCTTTTATTTTTACTCCTAGTGAGCACATAAAGCAGCAGATGCAAGTTGGTTCTCACTACCACAACTGCTGGTATACCGTTGATTGCTCTTTTAGTGGCTTTGGTTTGACGATCTTTTCGTTAATGCTACTTATCAACCTGTCTTTGCAGGAATGCATTGATTGGAGTGATTAAGAAGGGTGGTTTGCCTTCGTTATATGCTGGATGGGGAGCTGTACTTTGCCGGAATGTTCCACACTCAATCATCAAGGTTATCAATCTTATCTGTCTCTTTGGTTTATGCTCACATGCTGTATACCTGGAATCAAAACTACTAAAGAAAAATAAGAGTTATCTCTATTGACAGAGTGATGTATACTGAAAACACCTCAAATTTTAGAAAATTATAAGGGCTGAATTATAGTCTGGGAGACTGGGACTAATATTATTTCTGATCAACTATATTGGGAGTTTCAAGAAAAAGGGCCTTGCATAACACTTATATACAGATATCAACCTTGTTCATGACATTGAATACTTTATCTTTTTCTGGTAGTGTGTTTTTCTTTCAGGTCATCTAAGTGTTTTATTTTGAAGCTATGTTTTCCATTACTTGCAGTTCTACACATATGAAAGCTTGAAGCAAATGATGTCACCATCATTACACTTTAGCGCTCAACCCAGCACAATACAAACGGTTTGTTTTTCTCTCTCGCTGGAATTGTATGATAATCCTTTTTTCTATGCAGCTGGCTCTGAGCTATTTTCTTTTTTCTTTTTTCTTTTATTGGCCATCTTGAAAAACGCTTATGCAGGATTTTCTAATCTACTCCTGCAGCTAGTTTGTGGAGGACTAGCTGGATCTACTGCTGCTTTGTTCACAACTCCCTTTGATGTGGTGAAAACAAGATTGCAGACTCAGGTTTGTAAGTTTTATGTAATATTTTCAAGTACACCATTCATGTGTTTTTGAACTTAAAATTTTGAGTTCAGCAGTAAGGATATTTGATAGATTTTTTTATCTGTACTAATTCTCTAGGATAGCTTATATAGTAGAAGTGTTCTTTTTTATTATTATTATTATTTTTTTTTTATTCCACTTAGTTTTTAAGGTATTCACGTGAAGCAAAAATATTGCTCAAAGTGACAACTTTAATGTAGTACGCAGAGTTATGAAATTAAATTTTTGTTATGGACTTTTTCCGGAGCAAAATTCTTCTGTATATGCATATGACTGAGGTAGAAATGTTTATGGCTACACAATTTGAGGGATGATTAGATTGAATTCTGTCGAAACTTTTATTCCATGATTTTCCTTTTATCTTTCTATTTTATTTTTTCATGGCTGGGTATTATATTATCTACCATTACCCAATTTTCATACCAGTCATTTGCAGATTCCTGGATCTATCAGCCAATACAATAGTGTGTATCATGCCCTCCAAGAAATAGGCAAGCGTGAAGGTTTGAAAGGTCTCTATAGGTACTACTCTATGTTTGCACATTATTGAACTGCAAGACATATCTCATAAGTCCTATTGCTGCTTAACGAATTAATAATATGGTGCATCTTATCAGCTTAGCTGCTTTAGTTATTCTAAACCTCGAGTTAACCTTATGTAAAGTTTCTTCTGTCTAGTTCCTGTAAAGTAGTCCCTTTCCAATTGAAATATACTATACAACTTTCCTGTATGTATGATGCAATCATTATTATTATTTTGTTTGTCTTCAGGGGGCTGATTCCTAGATTGGTTATGTACATGTCTCAAGGAGCAATCTTCTTTGGGTCCTACGAATTTTTCAAACACTTATTTTCTTTAGACGTGCCACAACTGAATGCCCCAAGAATCCTACATGAACATACTAAACAAGACAAAGCAGTATCATCAGTTCCGACTCCATCATCAGCGTCAACTGCAGTATTATCACCATCATAACCAATACTGCATAGTGTGCATTCATGATAGTCTGAGCACGTATACAGGAATAATGGCAATGACATCAAAACATGAGAAAAACCCAAAATTTCTGCTCACTGGCGAGGTTCTCTGTGAGCCATCGACTGGAAATTAAAACAGATACCGTCCAGAATTTTGAGGTTAACGTACCTAGTGTCGCTTGGCATTGATCAGATTTTTTTCATGAGACAGGGTGTAACATATAGCAGTGCTGGTGGGCACAAATCTACAAGCTAACCACCCAATTATGTTACCCAGTTAGCTTAGCTTAGCCATTTTTCAGGTTTCAACTAAAATGTTCACAAAGAAAGCAGTGTATCCCAATACAACTAATTGTATCATTGATTTTTCACAAATGCAATGTGAATTGATTTTCTTGAAAGCTGAGTTATCCACACAGAAAAAGATTGGAGAGAAACATTGGTCAAGGATGGTTACCCCTTGCTTAGAATATCATTTTCATGCTCATATTGTCAAGATAAAGAAATTTTCCAAATAATATTTAAAGTGAACTGGTTTTGAATTTACCCATTTTACAATTTTTTTAAAGGTTTTGTTTGTTAATAACTCTTCACTTAATTCTACAGATATTCTTCTCCAGTAGAACCTGTATAAAAAGCTCTCTTCTTTTTCATTTTCCTTTATTGCAAGGAGAAAAAAGAGCTGATCATTTGTATCTCTTTGTTATTAGTTCATTTATTTTATGCCAATTTACATTTCATGTTTTCTTGAAATGGTGCAAATATGTTATAAGTATAGAAATAAATAAATGTGAAACCTTAAAAACAACAAGTCGTTGTAGTATAGTGGTGAGTATTCCCGCCTGTCACGCGGGTGACCCGGGTTCGATCCCCGGCAACGGCGAAATTTTTTCTAATTTTTTTATTATTCATAAATTCAAGAATAATTTTAACATCATTAAATGCAAATGCAACCATAATTATTTTAGAATTTCATTTTAATCATTATTCGAAAAATAATGCAATTAAGCAACAAAGGTCAGCAGAATCTGAAAAGAAGTTTGGAATCTTGGGATGTACAACTTGAAGTGAACTGACAAATATAAAGCTTAAAGCATATGAATAATGAACCACTGTAATGCTGCAAAACAACAGAGAGTACAGCTGACCACAGTTGTGTTTTCATTATTTTAGTGATAAATAATAAGGTTTTTGCTACAAATTTTTTGAACTTCCATGGCTCCAAAATCAGTAACATCTTTCAATGTCCTAGGAGCTTCTTCCTCTTTACCACCAAATATTCTAAATATATATATATAATACACAGAAGTAAAAGAAAATTGACTGCTATCATCAAAAAGTACTCCCCCACTTCCCCTATCAAGTTACAATATGGACAGTATAGTGTTTTTGTTCTACTTCTAATTTTTATGTAAAACCCCTCAATTTGTGGCATGCATTGCCCAGTTTTGCCTCCAACTCCATATGGAAAGTTGTCACACCATCCCTTTAGCTTTACTGAGCTAACTGTTGGGTCTATGCCACAAGAATTTCGATGCCGACAATTTTGCTATTGTCCATGGATATGGTAGGAACTGACATCCTTTTGTAGTGTTTGCTATCGTCCATGGATGGATATGGTAGGAACTGACATCCTTTTGTAGTGTTTGCTACCGTCCATGGATATGGTAGGAACAGACATCCTTTTGTAGTGTTTGCTACCCTCCATGTATATGGTAGGAACAGACATCCTTTTGTAGTGTTTCTACTACTATGCCCTCTTCCTCCATTTTCTTCCCAATTCTGATATGGGTGTTCTCCAGAGAAGCCACTTGGCTTTTCACCAATTGTGCCGGTTCTGTCTATAGAGTCTATACTCTAGACATTGGAGAGAAGGGAGGGTTAATCACATAGGATGGCGGCATCTCTTCCATCCTTTTTGTGACTTTGTTCTTCTCGTCTTCAGTGACGGCATCAATCAAGAATTTCACTTCCTCCTCAATGAGCATTTTTAGTGAATTACAATGAGGCAACGGCATGCTTTTCTCCTGCCCAGCAGCGAAGGGGGTTTCCGTACCATGTAATATTGCAACGCATATAGAAAATGCTTGTAAAGTGGATAACTGAGCATGGAAATCAACTGCATACCACCCCTCTTCTAGAACTATCATGGACAATGCTGGTGTATTCTCTTTTGCTCCCTGCAAACAAATCAAAATCAAGTCAGAATTTGAGAGAGACTGATTGTATGAATATCACAGCATGAACACAATTCCGTATGGAATAAACAAATTATAATGGCTTCCCATAAAAAGTAGAATGCTTCCACTGACCTATTTCTAGGTAGGTACCCAAATGCCATTCACATTTGATCAAGTCTTCCTTATATCACAAAGGATTATTTATTGGGAAACAGTATGTGCAGATAATTATTGCTCTAATTAAAAATGTATTGCTCTACATTAACAGATCATATTGATATTGGTCATCTTATTCCATGTGACGTTGGCAGAAAGTGGGTTACACCATCAAAACTCACATTTAACTATCTAATGTTTGCTTTTATCATACACTTATTTCAACAAGATGCGCATATGAGAAGCAAATGGACCTTAAAAAGAGCAAAGTGGCCGATTTAAATGCTAATGAGATAAAGCTGGGTAATTTCATTCATGTGAAAGCTGTAGTGTTATGTTTGTATATTCTGGACAAGCATATGTATTATGCACTGAAATTTAATAATTTTTGCCCCAATATATCTTCATAAATAACATGCAGCTGTGTCAATCCACCCCATCAAATGCAAAACTGCAGGTAACAACAATATTTCTAAGGCGGTTTGCTTCAAAATCTCTTAGGTAAAACTGTACCATGCAAAAGTCATTTGTTTTTTTACATTCCTAATAATATGGAATTCTAACGGTACAATTTTTAGTTATCCAAGCTATGGTGGTATCAAAGCTTACCTGAACAAAAAGTTCCAAAGGCTGTTGATTGTCCAGTAGTAGTTTATCTTCAGCATATTGAATTTTGGGATTGCTAAAAACAGTAAGGGGGCAAGCCATGTCCCAGCCACCACAGTCACAGCCTCCTCCCAACCTCCATCGATCCAGTAATGGAGAAGGTCCTCGGCTTTCAGCACCAGGCAAACCATGGTTACCACTGGGAATGATCACATTCACGTTTTCAGAAATTTTGCTTTCAACATAATCTTTTCGAGTATGCTCAAATGCAGAAAAATTGAGAAGATTTGAATGCATTTTATCGCTGGTTTTATGCCCTCTCCTGTATTTCAAGCTTTCTCTTTTCTCAAATGGCACTTGAATAACAACCGCTGCAATTTCAAGGCTTGGACTCAAATCCCCAGATGCCCATGGACATGGATTTGATTTATTAGAAGCATATTTTGGTTGATCTTTAGACCTCCCCAAATCAGAGTCATTAACTAATTCATGATTTCCCTCAATTAAGCCCGGTTTAGAAACCTTAGGAGATGTAGCTTCAGAGGAACACTTCTGGCATTCTTTAGAGATGACACTTTGTTTTGCATGCGCTATATCATACAATACAAACTCTGTCACCATAGAGTCATCAAAAGCCCCACCATTTTTTAGTTCTGAGCATAAATAACAGGAAACCTGCATTTGTCCTACCATTGAGCACTCTTTGTTGATATCACTTGATCCCCATCCACTGGCATTGCTCTTTTTTCTACCATCAATGGAGTGAAACGTATATACCCAATTAAAAGCATTATCTTCCTTCCATGCCCTGGCCACAATAACATCTTCAGGGCAATTCAAAGAGAATTCAAGAAAAGGTACTCCTTGTTTACTTTCCAACTTCAGAAGGCCGTGTAAGTGTACTGGTGAATTTGCCACAACTGAATGATGCTGATCTTTCTTGACAAACTGAGAATCAAATTCTGAATTCTGAACTGTATGAGAAAAGTCATGCAATAAAGACTTTCGCAATGTCCCTTCCCTTCTCATTTTTTCCATCCCAGTTTTAACAACTTCATCAGGTTGCACCATATAACCCAAAGGACTTCGTAGAGACTTGGACTTCATGAATGGATCAAAAATCTTTCTGATAGGGCTAAAACGAGTCTTGGAGCTGGCTCTGGACGAGTGATTACTTTCTGATTGAGAAGGTGAGCAGTGCATCTCCACTTTAGCAGAATGTGACTTTTGAAATGTCAAAACTTTGTCTCTTTCAAGCGTGTTACCGTCATTTACAGGACCAGCTACTTCATCACATCTGAAATTCAGATCCTTAAATGTATCTCTCCGTCTGGTTTCAGCAGAATGTTTTTCTCTGCCATCTGAATTCAGACAGAATTCAATGAATGCATCTGAGGGGCATGGTTCTAAACAAGGCTTGTAAACAGATGAAGCATTCGATTTTGAGCTTATCGACATCACTGAGTTTCTCTTCTGTGTGCTTTCCTCTTCCTCATCTGAACTACATAACGAGTCAACAACCCTAAAGGAAAATGAGGTGTCACTACTACAGGACAATTCAATTTTTTTCCTTTCCTCAATAGCTCCCATTTTCTTCATCTTCCTTACCTTTTTGGAGCATTGATATATTGAACCTCGCTTCAGCTCTATGCTATCTTCCAGTCCAAAAGGTCTGGATTGAGTGCTTTTACAAGAGGCACTGCGGTAGCGACGAAAGCTAATCTCTGTGAAACCCTCTTTTACTCTCAATATACCATCTCTACGCGTAGGTTTAGCTCTTGCATTTCTCTTTTCAAGGTTTAAACATTGCCGAGGAGATGGAAGAACAGTGTTAGGACTCAGACCTGTACTGTTTTTGTCAGAATCGGACTCCATCTCTAGTCCCATTTCTAGATCCACCGTTCTGCAATAAATTAAAATCAGAACGAAATAGACGTTAAAATGGGATATAGAACAAGTCATCAAACTACAGAAATCCAAAAAAAAAAATCATCAAACAAGTAATCACAAAGTGATATCTTAGCCAGTATTTATAAGCTGGAAGAATGAAATTTGAAATATTGTCAACTAAAATCATAAGAGAAAATGCAGAATGAGTAACAATACGAACTAGATTTATTACCTAATGTTTTAAACCAATGAAAACTTCCTCAAACTTTAATAGAAACAACCACCAGAATTGTAAAATAACAGAAACAACAAATTTCCTAAACCATACATCTCTGCCTCTAAATGTTTATTGAGAAGAGATTCAAAGGTAGGTAAAAATCAGATCTTGAAAGTCACTTCCTAGTGAGGAATTGCCACTCCAATACATTCACATTAACAAAACTGAATAAAACACAGGATTTAACAAAAAAAAAAAAAAAAAAAAAGCGGAAAATAGAGGGAAAAAATGATAAATAGAAGCGTAATAAAATCCCCTAACTTAAAGCATTGGTTCAATGACTTCACTTTTGTAGTAACATAGTTTGAAAAAGAAAGCCACACATCAATGATTCCAAACTTTGAGACACAAAAACCTGAAAATTAGTGATCCCTAAAAATATGAAACCCCTGAACCACAAAGAATCCAATGACCTCTATTAGCAGCTAAAAATGAGTAAAGTGACAGAGATAAAGGCTACATAAAATAATAAATTAAACATCTTTAGTTTCACTTGCATTCTAAGCCAAACCAAAAGAAAAAAAAAAAAAAAAAAAAAAAGGCCAAAACTACAAGAGAAAAATTAATAAGCATACCCACTAGATCTCAGGTAAAACAATCATAATCTCCTCTCTGTTCAGCCTAAAGAGTGTTATGAATTAGAGAAAGAACCAAAAAAAAATCCAAGTTAAAGAATGGTCAGCGGTGACCAAAGGTACAGTACTGAGTAAAAGCATAAAAGAACAAGGGTGAGATGGACCAATGGCAGAAAAGCAAAGAGGGTTAATAAAACCAAAAAGTGAGTTTTAGATAGAGAGAAAAACAAATGATGGAGAGAGAGAGAAAAGGAAAGCATAGCATGCTTGAGGTTAAGTGTTGGAGTGAAGAGTGTGTCTGTTAATAATGTTTTTAACTGAAGAAGGCAACAAAAACAAAGAAACAGAAAGCAAAACACCCTCTTTCTCTTACATGAAACTGTGAAAGAAGAGTTACCAGGAGAGACAAAGGAACTGCTTAGTTGCTGTTGATGTCGAGTAAAAAAGCCATCTTCTTCCAGTCATCATATGCTGTGTTACGTTGTGTTTGTACTGTTTTTTCTTTATTTTTTGTTTCACTTTTATGTCTATTGATATGGGCAGTTACAGAGAAGCGCACCTCTGAATGAAAAGACAATAATAGCCTTTCCGAATGTGTATTCGAAGAGTTCCTTAAGTGATGGTAATATGGTCAATTGAATAGAGAAGTTGATGCTTTTGGCTGACAAAGGTGGGTGTCCAAATCGGTGCCATAATAATAATTAATGCTATTAATCTTCTGGTTTTGGGAAAAGCAAACTGAAATCTTACAATTAATTAAACAAATTAATAAAGATATTAATACTACTGACTTGTAGATCCGTCCGTCCGTCCCTCGCTTCCTCCTTATGCATTTACTATAATCTCCCTATATCTTGCAAGGAATTAGATTTCACATTTACATTATTACCCCGGCTATGATAGGTGGTATACTTTGATGAAGAACGAGATATAAAATGTTAATAATGTAAAATATTGGGATCGGTAGTCATTCGAATGGTGAAGGAGAAAATGGTAATTACGAAAAAAGGTGGGTGCACATGAATGTGATTGGTTTAGGCGGGGAAGTGGCTCAAAACTGAGGCTGTCGGTCACATAAAACCCACGGACTAAATCCATTTGATTCCAAAGGGGGAATCAAATTTTATTTGGACCTTAAAATTACAAAAATCAGTGCATAAAATTTTGTTGTTTAGTTATTCTTGTTAGTTTTTGTAACCATCAATTTCGAAGTTTCAAATGTAAAATCAAGCAAAATGACCATGATATGACAGTAGTGCTGAATATCATTGATGTAAGAGTAAACCACATGTTCCCACCCAAGGTTTGACAAAATCTCAGGTTGGTATGCCAAGTTTCATTTATTCCATATTCCCACCCTTAAAGTAACAGAAAATGGTTAGATATAACGGCTCAAGGGTAAATTGGTCATTTCACAGAGGAGGCGCACATTGGCATATCGCAGCCCCTGATAAAGTTCCGACGCACGTTAGCTAAACTCATCGTCGATGTTTTTCGCCCTTTTCCGGCGATTCTTCCACCCAAAATCACTCTTGTCACCACCATTCGAACCCTCATCCTCCCTTCTACAAAACCGTACCCTTGACAACCCCTTATCACTCGCCGATCGCCAGCCACGATAGCCGCCACATGCAACTGGTTTTCGTCGATCTCCATCGGCGAATGACCACTAAACAGTTGCTGGGACATAGGGGTTTTGTAGATTAGGAGATGCTGGTTGTAGTGGTGACGTCGAATTAGATTTTCATCATCGGAATCCGGCGAAGAATGAGAAAACCTAACCCTGATGGCGCCATCGACTGGAGAGGTCAATGAGTCGGGAATTAGAGGGGTTTTGGACGACAGATGATGAGGAAGCTGATGGAGGTGAACAAGGGTTTCGCAGTCATCAAAAACAGCCCAGATCCGGTGAAAATCGAGATGGTGCGCAGTCATTGAGGGTGTAATTGAAGTAATTTCAAAACAAGGTGATTAATTTTATAATTTTAGTAATTTAGGGGCTAAAATTAATTTATTAATTTAAGGTTAAAGGCATTATGATAATTGCACCCTCACTACCCAAAAAAATGTTAACATTGTTACTTTAGACCTTAAAGATGAGAATATAGAATAAATGAAACTTGACATACCAACTTAGGATTTCGTCAAACTTGGGTGGGAACATGTCGTTTACTCTTGATGTCATGATATCTCACTAAAATTGAAATTACAATTTTGTCCACCAAAAATATAGTATTATTAAGCCTTATAGTGATATTAATGAGTAAAAGTGTAAAACTACACATCTAAATAAATTTTACAAAAGAATTCAGAAAATGAATGAGAAACTCTCTTCCGTAGTATAAAAATATCAGTAAGATTTCTTGATATGTCTAGTATTATTGATTAAGTTTTAGTTGATTAACTAGGGCAGTGTAGAAGAAATACACTAGGTGGATCGACAGATTAAAGGCAACAGAAATACACGATCCCCTATGCTATGCACAAGAAGTTCCTAAAATTTAAACTGTACAAAGGCGGCTATCTATCTACCTAACTAGCACAACTAGATTAAGAAGATTACAGACCCAACACTCATACAAAGGCCTGTACATCTTTTCTCATATTCACTCACTCCTCTTTCTTTGTCGATTCAGGATTTTCTTCATTCTTTATCTTGCCAAATGATCTCTGCGCTTCTAAAACTGGCATGTATGCTTCACTTGACTTCTTAAGAACATCAACCCCCGATTTATCATCACGGGGACTCAACAACTTCTTCTCAAGACTTTCGAATTTGGTAGTGGCTAAGGGTGCTGTGCCCACCATCTTTGCTGAACTTGGCCCATCAATTGTCAGTGTAGATGCCTCGTCTCTTGATGCATACCAGTTGTGACCGCACCCAATACACTCCAACTGGATCACAGACTAAAGGTTAATGGCCAATAATATATAGACAATATATTTTCAAGACTGATATAAAAATCATGTGATGTAAACTCAGTATTGCTAACCTACTGGGAGATAACATTGCCCTCACAACAAAATAAAGAACTGAAAAAAGTAATTTGATCTTTCAATTATAGTCATAGACATATCCAAGAACCATAGGTTCGACTTCTCCTTATTGTACTTGGCCTTTATTTACCCAAAGACAAGAAACTGTCAGAAAACTTGTCTGTACAAAAGCCATAATGAAAGTTCAATATGCTATCTTCGTCATAAATATGACCAATGAAAGTTTTGACTCATTGAAACAAATATTTTTAAACAAAATGTAAGAACCAATGCAAATTGAACCACGACTTACTGAAAGCTCCAGACTAAAATAATAAATGTGTATAAAACTCAAAGTCTATAATTATATTAAAAATGTCTGATCTTATGCTTGAGTTTCAACAGATCCCAGATCAATCAAATATCAGACATACAGTAAAAATGGAAATTAACTTTAAGAGTTCAGAAGATAAAATGCATGAACCTGATAGCGGTCTCCATGTCCTGCTTGGATAATGTCCCTCACACCCACTTTAAGCTCATTGCACCTTGAACACCGAGCATCTGTCATCTGTTTCACAAGCAACAATACAACAAGTGAGGACATACCAAAAACACAACAAGAAACTGATTCAAATATTAAGATTTTAAACAATATGAGGTAAAATTTAGCTGACCTGCATTCGCTCCAATTCATCAGGCTCCTTCGGTGCTATCTCCTCAGCAGTTAAACCGTCCTAAAAGAATAAGATAGTCAAGATATCTCACAATTCACACCAAATAATCCCACAAACATTTACAAATGAATGCGACATGGAAGAAGACTGATTATAAGTAAAAATTGCCAAATAAGCAACCAATGATCTATAGTTTTGCAATTATAGTGCTTTAGCAAACAGCAAATGCTACAGGGCCAATGCAGTGACCAAATGTTTGCTCCCAATAAAAAAAATTTGAAATAAAATGCATTACATTGGAACCAAATTTTAAATTAAATTAAGCAAAAGCTCAAGCACGTTCAAGAAATTCGACTTCTAACGTAGGGATGACAACACTAACCTAGTTCCAACAGCATGCATGGATAGCGGGAAAATGGTTTAAAAAAATCATTTCATAGACAATACAAAATTGAAAATTCCAATGGATGCATAAATATTCCCTAGCCAAATTAATAGATTGAACAGGTGTGTATGCCTTGCATACAGTGAAAATTTCTTTCCCAATATGTAGCCCTTGCAATATAAGAACTTTACAACGAAAAAAAAGTGGTCAATACACAACAATAACAGCATATATTTCATCTATATTGATTGTTTCACCAAACAGATGAGCTGTGTGTAAGCAGAAGAGGCATCAGTGTGAAGTTGAAGGAGAGGTGGTACTTTTCCATAACGGCACCAGGATGATTCCTTAGCCTTATCAAGCCAAATAACACCCCTGACACAGTGCTAACAGAAAACTACCAAAATAGTTCCATCCCCACTGAACTAACAAGTACTCACTCAAAATAGGAGTCGAGACTGTAGGACAATCAAAATCATGATTATCAGCCAACCAAATCAAGACAATGACTTAGGAGCCAAGGGTCACTAGAGAACCATTTCTTGTCTAAAATACAAAAGAAGAAATAAATCCCACAAGTACAAACATGAAAAAATAGTACCTTTAACTCATTTGGTGACATGTTGATCATTTTTGAAGGTTCTAACTCCCCATTTAGTAAACGCCGAGCTAGGAGCGCTGTAGCCTGCCAACAGTATAACAAATTTACAGAAAGAAAGGGGGAAAAAAAAAAAAAAACTCAATTTATAATACCTTTGACATAAAAATGGTGTAATTCACAGTAAACAATGGCTAAATCTAAATGAAAGATTTACAATCATTGGAAACTATCTTCATCTCTCATAATCATAATTAGAAAAAAACTGCAGCGCAATACTGTCATTTCCTCTTTTAATGTATTGTATATGAAAATAATATAAGCTTGGAGGGTGCATCAATCTTTGCCTTACAATCTCAACAAGAAAAAATTAAAAACAAACAGTTCACAAGTTCATATAAGAGTTTAACAGTGCACAGGCAAGCATATATTAAATGGTTTATACTCATCCATGCACAAAAGTGTCTATGAATATGTGTATGTACTTGTTTGAACATACACAAAAAGACAACTTTCTAACCTTGAGATTGAACACTAGCTGCCGCATTTTTTGGTTATACTTCTGAAAATCTGAGGAAAGAGCATCATGTGAAGCCTTCTCAAGGGCAGTCACTGCTGGTACAGCAGAATCTGGCCAGATAAAGGACTTGCTCCTCTGTGAAAACCAAAATAAATAAAATCAGAATCAGAATCAGAATCAGAATCCATTTTTGATCCGCCAATTCCGATTCACAGTGACCCTTCACATGAATCAGGACCAAGAAAAGAGATATTCCCACAGGAAATCACAAAATTATGTACAAGTAATTATACATATACCTTCTGACTCTTTTCCTGAGAACCATTAGCAGGTCCCAGACGCTTATTGTCTCTTTCACGGTCAAGCCCATCAACACCACCTTCCACATTGTCATCCCCATTCGAGCTATCAGGAGCACTGCACATGTACTTGATTGCTTGAAGTAGCCTCTCCAACCATTTATCACGATGTGTTTCTCCAGTTAACGCCTTAAACTTTGTTAAAATGCCATAATACTCCGGGGTATTGCTTGTACAGCTTCCTGGTGTTTCAGCTTTAAGAAGTTGATCTGACCTGGTTGTTGTTTCGTCCTCCCTAGTAACATCAAGTGGTGATATGCTCTTTTTCCGGAGGAATCTCTTTGTCTTTGACTGATCTTCCTGTTGGACCTGATCCTGAACAACAGTCTCTTCGGGCTCAACGTCAGGAAGTTCTCCCAAGCGTGCTCGAGTTTTTTGAACAAGAAGATCAATCTCATGTTGCTTATTATCTTCATAGTCTTTATCAGTTAGTTTCCAAAGTTTCCTTTCCACAGTGTCATACACCTTTTGCACAATAAAACCAGGGTGTTGTTTACGATTCGGAAGCTGCTTATTTATGGGGACAAAATGCACCACACACTTGTGCATCACAGATTCGGCTGGAATTTCATCACGATGAAAACTGTAAAACAGCTCTCGCGTATCACGGGATTGCCAATTTCCACCACCTTTTCTATCAGCCTCTTCTGGGCGATAAAACCATTGTCCAGTAACCGTCATGTTCCCATCTTTGATATTCTGAGCAATGTCCTATAAGCAGAACAACAATTTCATTATCCATGTAAGTTATGACAAAACCACATTCACATCCAAACAGGAAAAGAGAAAACTGAATTAATACAACACTGGTTTTAAAGAGCAAAAGTCGACCAAAGAAATTGATCAGGGGCGATGTCAATCAAGCTAATACCACTAGCAAAACTTTGGTGGACAAATTGCGTCCCACTTTGAGGTAAATAGTTATTTCATTAATTTGTTTCATTGGTTGAAATAAGGCATAGACATCCCCGTTGAGTAAAACAACAGAACTTTCTACTGCCAGCAAGAAGTTACATATGCTCATCGAGCAGTTGAGTCTAACATCACCACCACAACGAAACACAAAAGGTAGCTTCACAAGACATTTACCTTGAGGATTGCCACATAAGGCTTCTGCTTCTTATCTTCAGGAACTAAAAGCACAGGATCCTCCTGCAGAAAAAGCAGAAGAGAAATAATAACCAAAGTTAATCCATTTCTAACTATAATAATTCATCCCAAAAAAACCCTAAGTCTCCGAATTACACGGATATTCAACTCTAGCATATAGATATTTGATAACTGTTTGTTAATTTCGCTTAGAACACACCAAACGAAACCCTAAATTAACCCATGCAAGCCAAATCCCACTAAATTGACAATAAAAACTAAATTATCAGTTAAAATGAATACTCACGAGTTCGTATTTATTTCCGTCAAACTCAAACGCTTCGTAATGGTTCCTCCGACCCCTTCCTTTACCGGAAGCTCTGACCGGCTCACCAACCGGCTTGGCGTCCTCCTGCGGCTGCTCCTCCTCCTCCTCCTCCTCTTCTTGCTCTTTAGCGCGTTTGTTTCGATTCTTCCCAGCTCCTCTCTCCATATCCTTTCCTTTCCTCTCCCTCTTCGATTCTCTTACTCTATCATTTTCTTCTTCTTCCTCTTCTTCCTCCTGAAGCTTTATTCTCTTCCTTTTGTTTTGCCTCGTGTCTTCTGATCTGCGGGTTCGTGTGGTTACAACAGGTACGTCGTCATCTTCGTCGCTAGTCGAGACCTGGGCGAAACGACGGTTGCCCATTTTCACTTGCCTCTGTTTCTACACACACTGAAATGTTGCCTGTCTGAGCCCGCCAAGTGTGGTGTTTTTATAGTAAATCCCTGGCTGTGTCAAAATGGGCCCTTTCTTTTAGTAAACCACGCTTTTGCCATTCCTTTGGAAAAAAATCATTTGGAGGTAATATTATCTCCGTAATAATTCTCAATTAATTCCTTAAAATTGTGAGGTTATAGATAATTAGTTCAACCTTTTGCATGAATTTAACCATGATTAAGGCTCAATCCATTTTTTTTTTTTTTTTTAACCATTTACACAAAGCCAAAGATATTCTGAAATGTCATTCTCTTAAACAATATCAATTTACCTTTGTGTACATTGGCTTGCTAGGCCAAATAAATTTAATCACCATATGCTCAAAAAATGGTTGAGATTAGGCACTTTTAATCACAATTAAGTAATGCCATAATAATTCTTTATCGTAGACTTTTCACGTAATTGAAGCCTAATTGGGTATTGATGTAATTTTAAGATTTTTTTTTTTTTTTTTTTTTTTTAGGGTAATCAGGGGTGTCCGATGTAACTTAAAGATTAATTAGGATTAATTCAACTTTTGAAATAATTAGTTTTAAAAATAAATTGGAATGTGTTTGATGATTACTGATTTTGTAATAGTTGTGACTTTCATAATCTATAATTGTGTGTTTGGTAAATTAAACAAACAATTAGATTTTGAAATTGTTAGTATATGTGTAATGACCAAATTAGACATCTTACTTCTTAAAATACTTTTATACTTCTAAATTTGTATTTTGTCTAAACGTTTAATAAATAATTTTAAATAAATTATCAATTAATTAATAATTCAAAATATTAATAAAAAATTGGATTTGGCCGAAGGTCGTCAACCATCAACCAATGTTTATCAACCACTATTGATCAACAGTCAATGTCAGTCAACGGTAGAGCGTTGAAATCACAATTGGTCATATTGGACTGAAGTGGGTCGATATGTAAGAATTCAATATCATCATCCATTTTGATATGTCTTCTATAGCTAAACAATACGTCAAAATCCGATGATTATACTGAATTCCTTTGTGTTGGGAGATTCCGGTTCCACCTTTGAATTAAAGGATGAAACTTTTCTAGAAAATACTAGCGAGTCATGGTGCACGGCCACCAGTTTTCAAACTCACCCATCTATTAAATAGATTAATAGAGCCCACTTCCATTGTTTGAGGAGTAGTCATCTTTGTCGGTCACTGCAATTGGATAAGTTAATGAGATCTTTTGAAGGGTAATAGAGGGTATATATGTAATATAAACTGTCAATAAAGGGTTTTTAATCTTAGGGGAGGTATTAGACAATTTTTGAAATCTGAAGGGAAGTCAGGGCCCATTTTTTATACCTCTGGGGTTGTAAGTGACTAAAACTGAAACCTGAGAAGAGGCGAAGGTAATAAGCCTTTTTAAATAAAATTTAAAACTACTGCCAATTATACAAAGCAGTAAGCATCGATTCAAAAACAGTTGCGAATCACTGAGACAAATAGGTGAAAATAAAATTGAGACTTGAACTTTGTAATTTCTTCTCTTTGGTTAAATTGAATGTTATAGATGGCGAAGAGGAAAGGCAGTTTGAAGACGAAATCCATGAAGAAGAAGAAGGCGGTTGAAGCTCGAAAGAAGTAATGTAATCAATGCGGAGGATCCTTCCAATCTGTCACGTCACTCGACAGTCACTGCAGATAAAATCATAAGAGAGCTCAAATTCATCTGTGACGGGTGCGAGAAGCCAAGAACCATTTCAAAACAAAAGCTGAACTGAAACTTCATTTGGATGCATGTCAATTTCTTTATTTACATCTTTTTTGTTCCAATTTTCATACATTTGATTTATGTTTATGTGCTCAAATTAGTTTGAGTTATCATGGTTAATTATATGAAATTGTTTTTATTTGATTTTGTATTAAATATATTAATCATCAAGGTAATGCAAATTGTATCATTTACTGCTTGTATAGCTCTACTTATTTCTATTAATAATTCTCTTATAATATTGAGGTTTAACCAAAATATGTATTTTTCTTCTTAATAATTTATTTATTTATTTTCTGTCTGGGTTGAAACAAAATTTTAGCCCAGTCTAATAAATTTTCCTAGCTACACTCTTAAACTGAAAATGCATGCATTGGACTTAAATGTAATTTATTTTGGCAATGTACTAATGTTAAGTAGCTTCATCACTTGATAATGAAGATAGATAAATCACCATTTCTTGTGCATCAAAGTTTCAAATTATCAATAAAAAATGAGGTTGGGAGAAGAAGGCAATGTCAGTTTTAAAGAGGGAACGGGGTTTCATAAATTAGTAATGTTTTGAATGCTATCATGCTCACTTCTCTCAGCAATTTCCTTCAGGCTTGTCCAGGATTTTCTCTTTTTGCTTGAACCCCACACAGTTTTTTCTGTTGTGGCAGAATTGATTTCAGATTCAACAGGCTTTTTAGTTCCAGATTTGTTTCTCTTTGTCTTCTTCCCGTCCAAAGTAACTTTCGCTTTTACTGAAGGAGTTACTGGACTATTTGAATTACAAGAATCTTCGGCTATTGCTGGCAAAGTTATCTCATCCACCTTAATAACCTCATCACCTATTGCTTGCGCATCTATCTCATTCACCTTATTAACCGCCTCTTTGATTCTTGTGTCTTTTTCCAAGCTGACAGACTTCTGAAGTGTGGACTTCCTATGTTCTTGTTTCGAAGTTCGCTTTACCTTGGGAGGGTTTATCTCTTTCATATGGCCTATTGGAGTCCCTTTCTTAAGATTTCGATGCAAACAGAACTGGCATTTATACACAACACTATTCTGTGTAGAAATTCTAGATTTCTTACGTTTACTTCGTGCCTTAACATGGGTCTTTTCAATCCGTACAGTGCAGTTAAAGCCAGGTTGAAGAATTGTCTCACATCTACAAAAACAAAAAAAGAAATTATATTTGGTAATCAGGAAAATCATATAAATTCCAGTAATAACTTTTAGATCTGCCATTATAGAGGGAGAATAAGATCAGGAGAAGAGTTATTTAACTAAAGATCAAATCACGATTATACACAGCAGAAGAATGACTAATGAGAAGACATGAAATCCCTTCTGCTAAGTATTAAGTAGACAAAGACTAGACTTAATGGAACATAAAATTTAATAGAAGTAAAACAAATAACATGACTTGAAATAGCTTCTCTGTATTCTAATATCCACTAGCTAGATTAAGTTACAAGATATATACTGCTATGTAATGTAGTCGATGCTGCAATTCATAATTATTAATTGAACAAATCAATATAAGTGTTTGAATGCATATATCCATATCCAATGAAATCTAATCATCAAATAAACTCCAAAACTAGCAAAACTAGTCATAACTACTACAAGATTTGCTTACAATCGAAATGCTATAAATAAATCATAATGGAGGCGAAACCATATATATTCCACTACTTGCCTCTAGACATCCCATTATATAGGAAAATAAAGGCCAGGACGAAAGTTAATCATCAAATAAACTCAACATCAAACTAAACAGCAACCAGCAACAGAAATGAGAAGATGTTGAATTTTAATTCCATTCCACTAAACATACAATCAAAGGAAGCTAACATTTGGATCACATACACAACAAAAGGGATGAGAACATATCTCTTCCACAAAACATCAAGCATACAAAAACTCATGACTAAATGAAACACAAAATTCAACAAAGTAAAACAAATAACATGATTGTGAACTAGCTTCTCTCATTCTCTGTTTTCTAATGCCCAACAAATGGACTAAATCACAACATATATAATGCTATATAGTCAATACCACAAACAATGAAAATGTTAATGATTTAAACAATTGAACAAGTGAGCTTAAATAAATATAAAAGCACAAGATAGGTCAATAGAAGTGTTTGGATTGCATATATCCATATACAATGAAACCCAGTCACCTCCAAAACTAGCCATAACAGCAGCATATTTCCTTACAATTGTAACACTAAACAAATCAGTAATCACCCATGATGTTCTACAAATCAATTTCCAATGACCTTGTTAACATAAAAAGAAATAAAGACGGTACCTTTGGCAAGAAAACAAAGAAGGGTCGGGCTGCAATCCCATTGACTCGTTCGCAGCGGCCAAATGGTGTCCAAAAAACGCCGCCAACGAAGGAACGGAAGCTTCGCCACCGGCCCATGTGGCAAGGTTTTGCAAGTGATCAAGTTTTAGTCTAGACTTGACGTTTATGGTGTTGGTTTGTTTCTTCCCTAGGTTTTGTTCTCTAAGTGATAGTTGTTTATGAGATGCAGATGACAAATTTGGCTGCCTTTTCGCTCCTCCTCTCTTCCCCATTATTTGTTTTCGCTAATTGCTCCCTGTTCCTCGTTGGGGAATATAGTCGAACAGGTGGTAGGCGTCTTTAAAAGCTTTAAAATTTTTCTTCTAACAGGTTCAGTTGAATGGATTCAGGAAAACTAAAATCATAATATAAGAGAAAAATTAAAAGGTCTGTTTGGTAATTAGACAAAATATACCTTATAAATTTAAATTCTCTTATATTATAAAATAAAAAAAATGAAAAAAAACAATTAATGAGGGGTGATGATGATGTTGCACAAAAGGAAAACAATGAGAATGACTTGAAGTGGTTGATTAAGACTTTTGGACGCACTATTTAATAAGTTTTGAGTTCAATTTTGTTGGGTTATTAGTAGGAAATGTCAGTTATTAACTTCACAATTCTGAGAGATTAATTATGGTGTACGTAAATTGATTTAGATATTAAGAAAGTTTAAAAGCGGTTAAACGACTTTTCTGAACAGAACCGATTTTTCAGTTTGGAAAAATTTATGAATCGAAACCGAATCAGTTTGGAGGAAAAATCGGTTTTTTGGTTAACAGGTTTTCCTTTTTTTTTCTAAATTAAATTGTAAAAATAAACAATACATATCCAAATAAAAATTAAACATTTATACATATCCATTCACCACTATTAACAATACATTAAAAATTGATACAAATAAAAGTCTAAAATAAATTTTTTTATTTAATATATAATATATATATATATTTTATTTAATATATATATATTTATAAAACCAGTCTCGGTTAACCATTTTTTATTTTTTCTCAAACCGATAACCAAATAAAAAATCCAGTTTTTTTAATTTTTCGAACTACAATCCAACAATTTTTCTGTTAACTAAATTTTTAATTTAACTACCGATTTAGTTTTTGTATTTTTTGGAACATCCTACTGGACACTTCCAAAGTTCTAATAAAAAAAAAAAAAAGATTTTAGGAGTTGAAAGTTTTGACACGTAGCATTGATGACGTGGCTAAAACTGGATCTTATTAAAGTTTTAGCTATAGGCCTGGCCCAATTGCCTTTGTTAAAGAAGAATGATCCGGTGATCTGATCCCTTCTAGAAGCTATAAAAACAAATGTAAGAATCTCAATCCATCCACCTTTTGGACTAACAATTCAAAACATGAAAAATGAAATAATTCTTTTCAAATCAAAATTGTTTTTTGATTTAATAGATTTGGTCCAATTGAATTGATGATTTTATCATCGTATTCACATTTAGAAATTCGACATAATTAATTTACATTTGTTGTATATATATAATTAATTATATATTATATTATTGATGTTTGATTTTGACACCAACTATTCGCACGTGCGAAATGCTAAGCGGGCTTAGAAGTCACACGCGATTATAGAAGTATTTAGTTGAATAAAGGGAGAAGAACAATGTTTAAAGTGGTTCGGATGCTCACAAGATGAATCATACGTCCACTGATATTGTATTAATGAGTGAAGTCAGGTCGCCTTAAGCGAGCTGAGTTACAGTCTGGAGAATATAAGAAAGAGAGAGAGAGAGTAAACTTTTCTAGAGTGAAAATTAGCCAATTCCACAAATGGAAGAGAAGTCCTCTGTTTATAGTGGGATGAATCAAGATAATGATTATTAAATCTGCGAGTGGGGTAAATGTCATGCAAATCCATCTCTGCGTCCCATTGCTCACCTGCCCGAGTGATTTCCTCGACTCGTGCAGAGATTGGATACATAGATCGTTTCCAACCATTCGCCAACCTGGCGTACACTTACTACACTGGCAGAAGCATGCCACTCATGTCATCATATGACGTGGCCGTATCTGAGCGGTTGTAGAACTTTCTTAAGCTCTGACCATTCATGCTGACAAGGCTTTTGCGTCAGCCTTACTTTTCTAGATATAACATATATAGATTAGGCCGAATTTTCATAATCCACATATGATAAAGGGTTTAGGCCAATGTTAATATTTAAATGTGACACTGCCTTAAGTTATTGACTTTTGGTTAGGAGGAGGATAAGCTCCGTGATTAATTAAAGTTTGGTCGATACTTGCTAGATGATATAACAACGTGTTGTTTTGTATCTTCCAGTCAACTGTTACAAACAAGATTAATGAGCTTTTATTAATACTTTAAATGGGTTATATAGTGAGAGTACTGACAATACATAGAATCTTGTTGTATTATTATCTGTAACTTATCCAGAAAACTTCAAAGAAAGAAAGAAAACGGTTGATCTCATTGAATTATTTGATTATTGCGCAAAATAATGTCATAGTTTATATCTTTAATTGCCAATTCTTGTTAATATTGTCCTTGTCCATTAATAATGAGAAAATTTAACTGGCTAGCCATCCCAAGTTTTCATTTAACAAAATGGCCTGGAAAATGTTTTTTATTTTATTTTTTTATTTAGAGAAGCTGACATGGCACAGTTAGGATCCATTAAACATGTAAAATGGGTTCAAATAAAAAGATTAAAACATATAAGGATAAAATCATAATTAATGAAAGTTTTTAAAATTTAAAATTTGAAAAAGAGCCCCACCCATTCAAATCGCTTAATCGAAACCGATTAAAGCAAAAATCGATATCTTCAATCCCTAAACGCATTCTGTGCAATTTTCGGCGATAACAGTCCACATTCATGCAAATTTTCACACCCAAATTCACTTCTAAAGCTTCTTCCTTTCTTAAAACTATGGTTGACATTCACAATGAGGAGGAAAACCCAACGCCTCTTAGAATCTTAGAGTCCGGCCGCGCAAGCAGTTCAATGGCTGCTCCGGTGGATCCTCCGATCAGTGAAGGTGTTCCAGCAGCGGAGACAACGGCGGCACAACAAAAGAGAGAACAGGAGCAAAACGGTTTTGAAGAAGAGGAGGCCGAGCAGAATTCAGGCCAGGAAGAGGAGTTCGGCGAGAGTTCAGGCGAGGAGGAGGAGGACGCCAAAGAGGAGGAGGCCACCGAAGAAAAGGTATTTGTACTTGCCGAGACCTAAGATCGCTTAAGCGATCCTTTGTATCGCTTAAGCGATTGATGGCTTTTACTCTTGGTCGCTTAAATTATTTATGATTGCTTAAGAGTAAAAGCGATGAATCGCTTAAGCGATATAAACGATCACTTAAGTGATCTTAGATCTGGCAGATGTTGATTCTGCCTCGTACAAGATCTCTTAAGCGATCTGTAATTGCTTAAGCGATCTCTTCCGAGGCAAAATCAAATCTGCCCAGATATATAATCGCTTAAGCGATCCTTTGTATCATTTAAGCGATTTCAGATCGCTTAAGAGTAAAAGTGTCGAATCGCTTAAGCGATATAAAAGATCGCTTAAGCGATCTAAGATCTAGGCAGATGTTGATTCTGCCTCGGAAGAGATCGCTTAAGCGACCAAGAGTAAAATCGACAAATCGCTTAAGCGATTTGTCGTTTTTACTCTTAAGCGATCTGAAATCGCTCGCTTAAGAGATCTTGTATGAGGCAGAATCATCTGCCCATCGCTTAAGCGATTCTTCCGGAGCGTATTTGGTTTAATTTTTTTGCTGATATTTTGTTTATATCGATTCTGCATATTTTTCTGAGCATAAACTATAGAGAGTACGGATTGGAGGTTATAAGCGATACGGTACCGTACTTCCCTGTAAGGGTGACAGTGAGGTCAAGTTGGGATGTTTTAACGAGAATAACGGGGATTTTAGGGATAGTGAGGAATGGTGAAAGGAGATTCAAAGAGACTTGTTTCATTCATTTTTGAGATATGGACACAAAATGGAAAAAGACATTCTGGAGGTTGGGAGTGTATTAGATGTTGTTGCACTCAATAAAAAGCAACAAAAAACACGAAATGTGGTTCGTGGTGGATGGAAAGCCACTACATTTCAGAATGATGGAATATGCGTTGGTGACTGGCTTAAGATGTGGGGAATTGCCAGGTGAGGTTGAGGAAAAAAGAATAAAGGACAGTACGAGAGCCAAAAGGTTGTCTAACAAGGTTTTGGTGGGGAACACGTCTATTAAGGCACATGAATTAGAGGACAGGTTAAAAGATGGTGAGTTTAACGATTCAGAGACGTTCAAACTGTGCTTGGTATTGTTCTTACATTCGATCCTAATGGCTGGTGACTCAACAAAAGCCGTTGATATTGATTGGGTGAAGTTTGTAAGCAACTTGAACTTCTTTAATGCTTATTTGTGGGGCTGGGTATCATTTAAGCGAACCATGGACTCCCTGCAAGCAAAAGACCTAGCGTTAAAGCACTCCCAATGGGCCAAGAAGAATAGAGCAGTGACGTACAATTTGTTTGGCTTCCCATGGGCAATGCAGGTAAATATTAATAGCTTTTTGTTATATTTTTTTTAATATATGTGTTTGAATTATGATATGGACTGTTTTTTTACAATATAGGCTTAGATGTATGAGGTCATCCATGTCCTGGCTAAGGCAGGGGGGAGGATTAGGGCTTCGGTTGTGCAACAGACATTTCCTAGGATGTTGTGGTGGCACGACCAAAAGTGTACTCATTTGGATTATGAGCAAATAGAGATTGAAATTCAATCAGCTCGGGTAAGATTAAAGGATTAAACTTTTGAATATGTACTTGCTTTAAAATGTCGCTTAAATCTGATTGATTTTGTTTCTTATTGCAGGGGGTTATCCATCCCTTCCTCACCGCTACTGGAGGTCAAGCGCAACAGCACTATGTCACATCTTTCCCAGCACTGGAGGATCAAAGGGATGAAAGGATAGACCGCCTAACGCAGGACCTACAAGGGGTCATACATGTGAGGGCAGTTGCAGGGCCACTGCTTGAGAATGTGGTTGACGCCGAGGAGGATGAAGCTGCAATCAGTGGGAGGGAGGAGGGGGGGAGGGAGGAAGAGGTTCGTATGCCTCAGCAAATCGGTATAACAAGTACCACTTTACCGAGGTGTCGGGGTCGAGAAAGTGAGGTGGTTAACCTAATAAATAGTTTGTTTGATAGTTTTACAACAGCTATTTATGGCATGTTTGATAAGATGGAAAAGCAGTTGAAAAGGGTGGAGGAGAAAGTGGATAAGGTGGCAGAAGAAGTTGGTAAGGTGCAAGAGGAAGTTGGTGGAGTATTGAAGGCGGTTGAAGTGCAACCTGGGCTGAAAAGAGAGAGCCGAAAGAGCAAGTTT